CGTGCCTGGTGTATTTAGACAACATAATCGCCATTTAAAGACTTTTAAACAGTAAATTTACTGTTTGTATTTTGAGAACGATTTCCGAAGTGGAAATTGAAACGTCAATAAACGTATTTTTATCTTTAATTGTGGCTTATTCCCAGTTTAACAGTAACTAATTGTTATTGGACTAAAAACTTCGGACAAACAAGTTATCGTCATAGTTATTGTGTACCATTCAGAGTTGACCGTTCTATACAGCCAGTGTTGCCACATAATTAGGTACTATTTTAGAATAAAGAGCATAGAACAGCAAAACCGACGCGACGCAAGCATTTGTTGAAACATCAAATTATGTATGATCAAAACATCTTTCACGGCTGTAAAATTTTATGCAATATTTTATTATTGCTGGTGGAACTAACTCCGAAGGTTTCCTCAATCACGCTGTATATCACATGGTGATCTAGGATTAGTAATTGTTGCACAACATCAATGTTTTGTAGCTCAACGATTGATTTTGGACGACTTTCGTCATGTTTGTTCTCTTGTTCTTTCCTGAAATGTCCACACTTCGGCTCCTTGGTGAGTGTCTTACGCTTTCGTGTGTGTGTAAAACTTAACATGTGTCTTTTATGAGTTTTTAAAATAGTATCATTTCATAAAAGTGGATGTAGTTGTCAGATCGCTGCTCTTCCCTTTGATACTTTATTTTAATCGTCCATTTATAATTAATGACCTTGTTCTTTGATCACCATTGTGTCAGGTTATCTCCATATTGATTTTCATGCCCAATTTTGTGTATTCTTTATATCTAATTTTCTCAGCATGTAATTTATGTCCTCCTATTGTGTTTGTCCAATGTCTTATATTTCTCGGCCACGTTTTTATTTTATTTCCTCAAAACTTCATTTCCCCGTCAATTTGTCTAACAAAGATGACCTAATTTTTACTCTGCTTTTGAAGTTCTTGTACTGTGACTTTCTGCGTTTACATACAAGATATTCACACATTTTGATTTATTTTGAAATATTATTGTTAATATTGTTAATAATATTAGATCGTCTAACTAGAAAAAACTTCCTTGTAATAAAATAATCACTGTGACTTATTGTTATTTTATTTCCATCAAAATTGACATTTATTCTTGTCTAAACTACAAAACTTAACTCATTAACTTATTTACAACATAGGATGGTAAATTACGTAGATGCCTTCTTCGTTCTGCTTTAACACCTTCCCTCATTGAGTAATTTTCCAACTCGATTTCAAAAAGTAATTTTTTCATTCTATTTGAAAACAGCGGCTTCGTCAAAACATCCGCTAACTGATTTTCAGATGACACCTTTACTAGTTCAAGTGATCCATCCAATACCATTTCTCTAACAAAAAAATGTCTAATATGTATATGTTTAGTCCGGCGATGAAACTCGGGATTCTGCGTTAATCGTATGGCTGATTCATTGTCGACATGTAGTGTCGGAACCAAGCTAACGCCGGTTAATTCCGTAAATATTCTTTTTAACCAAACTATTTCTCGTGCAGCGTCACTTGCAGCTACTATTTCTGCCTCTGTTGTCGATATGGCTACTGATGTTTGTCTCTGACTAAACCAAGATACAGCTGCTCCAGCATAAAGACACAATACCCAGATGTCGATCTTCCGGTTGTTATATCACCTCCATGATCAGCATCGCTATAGCTTGTTAACTTAGGTTGTATATCTGGCTTTCGCATATAAGTTAAGCCATAATTTATTGTCCCATTCAAATAGCGGAATATTCTCTTAACTTTTACATAGTCGTTTGGACTTGTATTTTCTAATTTCCTGGATACAACACTAACAGCATAAGCTATATCTGGACGTGTACCCGTCATTAGGTACATAAGAGCACCCACAGCTTCGCGATATGGAAAACAAGTATTCGATTCTATTTCACTAGTTTCCTTCCCTAATTGGATAGCTTCTTTTACAATCGGGGTCGAGACCGGTCTGCTATTTTCCATGCCAAAACGTTCTAGCACCTTTCTTGTATAAGCTGACTGGGTAATACTTATGGAGTCGTCTTGATTTCTTTCGATTTCCAAACCTAAGAAATATGTAGCTGGTTTAACTGTTATTTTAAACTTCTCCTGAAGCTTTTTCAAAAAATTCATCTTCATTATTTCATTTGTACATGCTATTAGACCATCGTCAACATACAGCACTAATATTAACATGTCTTTTCCTTCGATTTTAATAACTAAACATGGATCTGCAGTACTTCGTTTAAAGCCAAGCGAATATATAAAGTTTCCAAAACGCTTATTCCAACACCTTGGTGCCTGTTTTAATCCATATAAACTTCTCTGGAGATGACAAACCATACCACTACCATCATCATAGCCTTCTGGTTGTTTCATGTATACTTCTTCGTCTAGAGTACCGTACAGAAATGCAGTACAGACATCGAATTGTGTAAGTGACATGTTTTTACTAGCAGCTATACTTATAACGGCTCTTATCGTACCACCTTTAGCTACTGGACTGAACGTTTGTTCATAATCTTCACCTTTTCTTTGTGAATAACCCTTCACTACCAAACGAGCTTTGTATTTATCAATTGAACCATCTGGATTGGTTTTGAGTTTATACACCCATTTACAGAAAATTGCTTTTTTATTTTCAGGTAAATTTTTCAAAATCCATGTACAATTCTCTCTTTTAATGACTGCATTTCATGCTCCATTGCCAGCCTCCAGTTATCTTTTTCACAACAAACAATTGCTTCTTTGTAACTAAGTGGTTCTTTGGTGTCGTTTATTTCAGCAGCAACCATCAAAACGAACTCGTCAAAGCGTGTTGGCTTCTTAATGTTTGATCTTTCTCTCAGTTGTCTTCTAAATTCTATAGCTTCTTCTAAGCTTTCTTCTGGTTCACAACATTGGTTTTCTTTTTGGTTATATGGGTCCATTTCTTCCATACTATCACTAATTTCATCGACAATATCTATTCCTTCTGTATCAGAATTATTTTGAACAAAATCCAATACATCTACTGTAGGTTGCAAACTTTGAAACTGTTTGGATTCTTTTAGCACACCGAGAGTTTCAAATTCATTAAAAATAACATCTCGTGAAAGTATTAGTCTATGCTGTTCTTCTGACCAAATCCTATATCCATTATCATTTTCATAACCCACGAGTATACCTTTAATAGATTTCTTATCCAATTTTCTCCTGCAAACTTTAGGAACGTGAGCATAACAAGTACTGCCGATTACTCTTAAATGTTTAAGTTCAGGCATATTTCATGTGGTGATTTATCAGGAATACTGGACATACCAGATCTGTTTAAGATATATATAGCTGTGTTTACTAATTCAGCCCAAAATGTTTGATCAAAGATACCTTCTCTTGCATGCATTAAAGATCTTGCGCATTCGACAATCGTTCTGTTATCACGTTCTGAACAGCCATTTTGTTGTGGTGTGTACGGCATCACCAATCTTTGTTTTATTCCATATTTGTTTAAAATATTTGCTACTCGATGATTATCAAATTCTCCACCATGATCTGACAGAAATTCTTTCACACACAGAGTTAAATGAGAAATATTCAGGTGGTAGAGTTTCTAATATTTTACAAATAAGCAAAATATCTGGCAAGTCGCACTTACAATTATTTCCAGCAACTGCATTATCTTTGAAAATTTCGCTTTGCAAATTGTTCCAAAGATTTTTAAGTTTTGATGAATGAGTAGCAATATCGTCATCTGATTGTCTAGTATAACTAAAAAATTGCATACAGATATCATAGGTTTTATCTGTTGCATTACCATCATACAAACGATGCAGCTCCAACCAAACTTCCCTAGCGGTCGAAAATCTCATGACTTTTTCTAATGTGCTTTGAGTCATATTTATTGTAAGAACTAATAAGACAGTACTACCTGTTTGATTAAAAAATGTAACATCGTTTTCATACTTGCATTTTTCTTCTTGTGTTGCTCCTTCGAGTAACGACTTAGGAAAAGTTAATCTACCATCAAGGACGTCCATCGCACTTTTTACATTTCTCAGAAGAATAGAGATTTTGTATTTCCAAGTGGTCCAACTCTCTTTACCTTCAAGTAATCCTATTTGCACCTTACTGGGATCCATTTTACTCTGGATTTAATTTAAAATGCTCTTTATTACTTTATGGAGATGACACTTTCCAGACAGTTAAAAATTTTTCTTCAATTCTTACTTAATTTCTTGTATTTTCTAGCATTACCATTTAGGTACTGTACGCTCTGCTACCATGTTAATATTGTTAATAATATTAGATCGTCTAACTAGAAAAAACTTCCTTGTAATAAAATAATGACTGTGACTTATTGTTATTTTATTTCCATCAAAATTGACATTTATTCTTGTCTAAACTACAAAACTTAACTCATTAACTTATTTACAACATAGGATGGTAAATTACGTAGATGCCTTCTTCATTCTGCTTTAACAATTATGACTAAGGTTATGCCAAAAATGTCAAACTTTCTAGTAAAAACATCAGATGGCACATGAGAGCAATCAGTATTGCCAAGGCTCAAAATATAAGTAAAGTCTCTAGTATTCATACTGTAGTATAATTATTAATCTAATTTATTGTCGTTATTTATTATTAAAGGTTCTACATTTATAACACAAGTTTATTAAAGTCTTTATTACAATATTCACTAATTTATTTTTACATTTATATTGGAACTAAAAACTCGACTTCATATTCAAAACTAACTAACTGTTTTCAACAAAATTCCCTCTTTAAATATAATATACCGTTATTCGAGAATCCCTTCGAATTCTGACGGCGACCCTCTCGAAAAGGATGGAAGGCAAATAGGTTTTTCAGCTGAGCGGCGAACTTACTGGAATAGAATAGAATAAGAAATAATATGTTTACAGTTTTATGAGTTATATTTTTCGTAACAATACTTTAAAAAATATCAATAGTATATGTATACATATAATATTTAACATATTTTACTTTTATTTCAGGCCAGTATTTTGGAACAAACTGAAAACCGTGATCTCAGCAAACTTGACATGTGGACGCAATTGGTCATTAAGAAACGACAACAAAAAATTATCGATGATAAGAAAACTGCAAAGGAAATCCAAGAATATACTACCTGCGATGAGTACAAAAATAAAATCCGACGCGAGGAGCTAAACAGAATTTTGGACAGAAGAGGTAGGTATAACATTAACATTTGAAATATTTAATACTATATACTAATCAAAACCCAATCCATGTCTAAACATTTACAACTTGGGTCATCATAGCCTTGCAATTTCATGAGATTAGGGCTCACGCCTGGGCGTATATTAATAGCATTTTTTTTTTATGTGGATTATTTCCCTTTGTTCATTATAATTTGCTGTGTTTTCGCAGCTATGGTGTTCTGCTTCCATTTGTTTCGGTCTCTGCTTCAGTTTTTCAATATGATGGGTTATTATTGTCCAATTCGTTATTCTATGAAGCATGTCTTGATGTGATCTTCTCAGTATGTGTCCGATCCATTCTAGGCCGAGTGATATGATATCTGACTATATTTTCTCCCTTTAGTTCGTTTTCTATCTCCTTGTTCGTTTTCTATCTCCTTATTCGTTTTCTATCTCCCTATTTTTTTTTTCACCTGCTTTTCTTATATTGGAGCCTAATATAGCTCTCATTATGTTTCTTTCAAATTTTAGTAAGCGGTCTTCCTCATTTTTATCTATCCTTGTTTCATAGCATACGTAGTAACTGGTCTAATTAAGGTTCTGTACAAATTCATTTTTGTGTTTTTGTAACGAACGAACCTCGGTACAGCGTACTTTAAATCATTCTGCAAAGTAAGGTGCACGGCAAGGGAAGCCCAAGAAGGCGTAGTATATCATGGCTGTAGTTCTCTCGGAGATTGGTACGATTACAGAACTTTTTAGAGCAACAGGCAATAAAGTCAGAATAGCCATGCTGGTGCCAACATTCGTAACGGATATGCACTGCAAGAAGAAGAAGAACAAGTTTTAAATCCGGATTGTTTTCGCTATTTCAAGCTGCTGATTTAAAGGAGCTCTTATTTTTGGCGTCGAATAATAGACAGATTATTTACCTCCATCCAGCTGTGCAGTTGCTCTACAAGCAAAGTAATAACAAGACAGCGACTGACCTAGTTCTGGACTATTCTGACCTGATCCCAGCGCTGGATAAGGAACACGTGCAACTGTTCAAAACGAAGACCGCCCTAAAAGAGAGGATAGAATTCTACCAAAGTACTGATCTGGTGGGAACTCCACTGGATCTTTGAGTATTGATCTAATAAGAACTTCACCGGACCCTTGGATATTGATGTGGAAGGTCAACGCCTCCCTCTGGTGAGAAGTATTAATTGGTCACTTCCCGTTCCTTGACAGATCGAGTATTGATCGATTCGGCCACCCGTCCCCCGACCAAGTACTGATTGGTCGCTTTTCGTTCCTCGTTCGGATCGAGTAATGATCTATTCGGTCACCTTTAACCCAGAATAAGTAGTAATTAGTCTTTATCCTTGATGTTTGTGTACTGACGAATACATCGTCCCTTTTCAAACTTCCTAGCATTGCTCGTATTTTATTTTTTCGCATGTACCTAGCATGTGGATCGTAACTTCGTGGCTTCATTCATCAGGTATTTTATTTTTTATTGTATGCATTGCATAGAAGTTAATTTTATTTTGTTATTTATTTATTTCGTATATACAGTAGAACTCCGATTATCCGTGTTCGCGTTATCCGGGCTGCGGATTATCGGTGCTACTTAACAGTGAATTGGCGTTTTATCAGAATGACTTCACCCAAATTACTGCGCCGTGGGAAATGCGTATAATGTAATATCCATAGCGTCAGTGCTCGGGGAATCCCTGGAAATCGGTAGCTTATAATATGTCGCTGCGGGCGTTGCGTGTTACGTCGAATGTGTGAGATTTAGTACATATTTGTGGCAGCCGTAGCTCAGTGGCTATGTTACTGACTTAACAAGCTGGAGGGCCCGGGTTCGTATCCCGGCACCGACAAAATTTTCAATTAATAATTAAACTGAGCTGTCACTGTGCTTCGGAGGGCACGTAAAGCTGTCGGTCTCGGCTACGAAAGTAGTCGTTAAATCATGTTAGGGGCGCTTGCGCGACCTGAAAACCCTAACACTAGACCTTAGCCAGAAGGTTACACGAACTTTACTTTAGTACATATTTACTTAGTTGGAAGCTAGAAATCAGTCGCTAAACGTGCTTTTATTTTCAAAATGTCAACAACCAGTGTTAAACGAAAGAGAAGTGTTTTAACGATTGAACAAAAACTAGAGAATTTAAACAGAAGTGAAAAGGGTAAAAGTGTCACATCATTATTACGGAGCTACGAAGTTGGTAAGCAAACAATATGCGATATTAATAGAAACAAATTGAAACTACACAATTTTATATCTCAATCTGACTCTTATAAAAAACATATCTGCACGGAAATCGTTGAAAGAATCGACTTTTTAACAACTCGATGAAGCGTTTTCCAAGTAGTTTCTGCAGAAAATATCTGAGGGCGTACCAATTTCGGGACCAATGTGTGCTAAGTAAGCGGAGATTTTTCACAAAAATTTGAAAATCAAAGAACCTTTTAATGCATCCAGTGGTTGGTTACATCGAATAAAAAAACGTCACGGAATTCGTGAGCAGCTTACCATCCAAGGCGAAAAGCTCAGTGCCGACGGAGAAGTAATGGTGGAATTTTGCTATGAGCTGGAGACCATAATTACAGCAAATAATTTACAACTTTCTCAAATTTATAACGCTGACGATACAGGATTATACTGGCGAGCAATACCTACAAAAACTTTAGTTGCAGATAAGTGCACCTGGGTATAAAAAAAGTAAAGACAGGGTAACCGTGTTGTGTTGTGCCAATGCGTCTGGCAGCCATAAACTGAAGCTGACTGTGATTGGAAAGTCAAAAAATCCTCGCCCTTTAAAAATATGAAACGACAGAATCGACCAGTTCACTATTATACCTAGAAGGCTGCCTGGATAACTTGTGACATTTTCAAAGATTGGTTCCATGCAAAGTTCATTTCTGAAGTAAAGTTATATTTGAAGAAAGAAAAATTTCCACAAAAGGCGGTTCTTCTAGATAATACTGGTGCTCATCCCAATGAGGCGACCCTAAGATCTGACGATGGAAATATCTTTGTTCTTTTTTTTCAGTCAATATTACATCCATTGCTCAACCAATGTATCAAGGTGTTATTGAGACAATGAAACAACTCTACCGAAAAGAATTTATGATGAACTTATTGGATGAAGTTCATCTGATCAAGTTTTGGAAATCGTTCACCATAAAAGGTGCAATTTTTACAGTGGCAAATGCATGGAGTGGAGTGAAATAGACTACTATCAAAAGAGCTTTTTACAAAATATTGACGCTAGAGGAAGATGAAAATATCATGGAATATGATGATAAAGACACTAACATAGCTGAACTAACTGCACTAGTGCGCAACGCCGATGTGTTTGAAGAAATTGATGACACCGAGGTTGAGAGATGGACAGAGTGTGATAAAAATGAGTCAGGCTATCAGCTCTTCAGCAACGACGAAATTGTCGAACTGGTTTTCCATCAGCCCGGTACGTCACAACCTGATTCATCCTAAAATGAGAGTCAAGATGAAGACAATAATGGAACGTTATTAATAAACAGAATAACTAACCAAAAGGCTGAGGAAGCTGTCAATGTTGCCCTAGACTATTTGGAGCAACAAGAACCTTCAGAATTTGTCGATATTTTAAGTTTGCATAAAATACGTTAGAAAATTATAAAAAATCGAAAACTCTCAACACAGGCCAAAGTGACTGATTTTTTTTTCAAAAGCATAGCCACCTAAAATATATAATACCTTTATGTAGTTTTTATTTTTATTGTTTAATATAAAAGTTTATTTCGGTAGAAATCTGTTTTTTGTTCTATTATGTATGTTTTTATTTACTATAAAAGTTAGTTTACACCTATGAGTTTGATTTTTTCTGTTATCTAATTCTGTTTTATGATAGGTATATATGCATGTATGTACATATGTACATATACATTAAAAAAATGTTCGGATTATCCGTGCATTTCAATTATCCTTACCACCGCCCGGTCCCGCGAAGCACGGATAATCGGGGTTCTACTGTATTTTTATTTAAATTAAACTTGTATTTTACTGAGTCTGGTGTCTAATAGTGCTAACCCGTTACATACTGACTCAATTCGTGCTTTAATCATTTTGCTTCGACTTGTTGGTTAATGAGTGAACCTAAATAAGTAGCCTTATTTCGGTGACAGAACTTGCGTGATTGATTTTCCACATATCCTAAAGGGTGGAGTATGTTTTTGTATCATCAGCTTAGTCATGGATATGATGTTCTAAAACATTTTAACATCCATTAACGTCTATTTTATGCCAATATTTGAGATACTGTTCACCTTAGTTCACTAAGTGTCATAGTGGTAATCTATATTTTAAACCCCTGACTTTTGGTTTGTAAAACTCCTGAAGAAAATGTAAAGCCGAAATGTGATTTTTATATTTCAATACGTTTGTCTATTATTTGTTCTATTGCCACACATTGGCGAATTTTTAAATGTGTACACGTCACTATTACATAGAGCATACATTCATTATGTATTTAATAGTTGTAAAAGTTAAAATTTTATTGTTTCAGGGCCCTTTGAGGATTTACGAGAAGAAGCTAGTAAAAAAGCAGCTTTGGATAAACTGAACTCTGATTCCGAAGACAGTATTAGTCATGAAAGTTTCACAGAAGTTAGAGAAGTGTTAAATGAAATTTTGAACAGGGTATTTGCTATGACGGAAGAGGTAGAGGAAAGGATAGATGAACAAACTGTGACAATTATACGAGGCCAGGTAAGAACACATTTTCTGAATAATATGAATATAAAACTTAATGTAATTATTAGGCATATAAGCATATAAAGAGAGTTTACATATGAGAAATTGAAATACTAATCACAACAAATGAGATACCAAGAGGAGATCCTGGATATTTCAGATACACCAAGCAAAAGACCTCTCCAAACTTCTGCAGAGTACAAAAATTCTAGACTGGGTGTAGGAAACAACAATGGGAAGCAAACACAATAAGCTTTAGCTTCAGTGAAAACGGAAATCTTTTCGATCAGACGGGCCCAGGGAGAAAAAAAAAATCACGACAAAAATTTCCAACAAGTGGCATAATTTTTCAAAAAATTTAAAAACCAATATCTGACAACCATTACTTCTCAACATTACAGGGAGGATTCAGTTTACGAATAATTTAATAGAGAAATGTGTATCTTGCAACATACAACGAAAAAGAGTAGTCAAAAATAGTACGGTACTACAGCAGAAAAAAGGATATCAACGTTAATTCACAAGACAACAACAACATAAATAATTGCAACAATGTATCGGGAACTATGGTACTCATAGAGATGACAAGAAAAAATATATAACTTTTGACTATAACTAAAGAAGTGCAGAAGTGAAGAACTATAATCTACACTGCACGTAGTACGAGCTCCTTCCCATATCAGTTAGCACAACTCTAGATTGATAATATAATTAAATTTTAGAGAACAAAAATAAAAGCGCAGCGTAAATTTTAGAAGTTTTAATGCATCGAACAACATTTTGAATTTTCTAATTATAGAAAATATTAACGTAATGAAACGTAATAATAATAACGTAATGAAAACTATTGATTAAACAGAATAATAGTAAATTTAAAAAAACGCACTTTTAAACTTGTATTATATGTTTATCTATAATAGATGTATAAATATAAATAAAAAACCATAGATATAAATATTATTATATCTATGGTTTTGTCTGTCTCATTTTAGGATCTTCACTGATTACATCCAAAACTTTGGCAAGTGTTGGTATTTATTTTTTAAAATAATATCGTGAACTTTTCTTCTTATTGCTCTTTAATTTGCTCAGTAAATTTAACTTTTTTTTATCCTACCTCCTGCATTGTCATTTTAAGGTTTAACAACTCCACTTAATTCAATTCTAATTTTATATATCCTTGATTTGATTACATATTGTTACGACTGTGACAATCGAGTGACTGCTGTTGGTATTTAGAATCTCCCTTAAACCAGAAGTGTCATGGGATAACATTTTTATAGAATGCACGCGAGGACTGTTAAGGGTCTAGGTGATTTGTCCAATTAATTAATGTTTTTCAATGTCAGTCAGTTATACATTTTTAATAAAGTTGAAGTTCGTTATCCACGTGTTTCAAGAAAACCACGGTACAAATTGGTGTCAGAAGTGGGTCGTCTTAGTGGCCGACCTCCGACGATTAATTGTTGAAAATGCTAAGAACTAGAGGTCAAAGCTATTTGTCGACGAATTCTGGAGATGTTTCAGAAGGTATCCCCTACCAAAATCCTTCAATACTAGCCATGCTGCATGATCTGATGACTACATTGCAAGAAGATTTAACAAATAAGATGACCGAAAACCAGACTGCATTGCAAGAAAATTAGAAAGACAGCCAGGCTGCATTGCAAGAACATCTGAATTCCATGATAGAAAACCAAGCTACAATTACGGAACATTTAGGTAGTCTTAAAGAAGGCATATTCGTCAAATTGTCGGGGCTCGAGACGAGGATACAAGAATCCAATTCAAAACTTCATGTGGAAATGCGTGATACAACTACACAACTACGTACAGACATACAAGAAGCCGCTACTGAGACCACAAAGCAACTTCGCACAAAGATACAAGAGGCTGTGAATGAGAATACCTGCTAACTGCGAACAGATATGCAGGGATTGGACCTCAAATTGTGAGATAATGTAGCCGAAATAAATAGTCAGGTAAATGTTGCAACTATTCTCAAACCGCACGTCATTACATCCCAGCTAAAATTAAATCATCAAAATTCGATGGCACGACTAGTTAATCAATTTATTTAAAACAGTTTCTTGCAGCTGCACAAGCCAATGCTTGATCCGAAGAAGAAAAAGCCACTGCACTTGTAGTTTTCCTCCGAGGAGAAGCACTGAATGTTTTGCAGACCATTTCTGAGGAAGAGCAAAAGGAACTTTTCCAGCTTGGTGTCTCAATGGGAAAAGCGATATGGTGACAAACATCTGCAGCAAGTGAACCAAACTCAGTTAAGGAATTTGAAGCGGATATAGCACACCTTTTTATTCAAGGATATTACCTTAAATAAAATCATCAAACGATAGAACTACTGCAAAAAAATCTATTGCATAAGACGCACTACAAACCAAATTATTAAATTACTTACATTAATATCCCGCTCGCGAACTTAAAAATTAAAAAAATCTTTTATCGCTAGAAAACTAGCACATTTTTATGCTAAAGAAGATCGATACTCAAGAATCCTGCAATTATAATATACATATTAATTGCACAATAATTTGTCGTAAATATTCGTAGATTTCGTATAAATGAAATATACGAACCTGTGGCTCCTGGCAAGAGTATAAGCCGCCCATTAGTGTCACCTCTTCTGATCCGTTTTTCTCTGACTTGATCTTCTCATCTGTACTTTGGTCCTCCTCTAGGTCTTGTATTTGTAAATTTCCACTTAAATATTTTCTTTATTAATTTATCTTCTTCTCGCCCTAATACATACTAGAGCCATTTCAACTTTTGAGTTATAAAGACATATGTCTAAATAATCGTCTAAACTCTCGGTCTTGGATTTTTTGTCCAACAATTCTTCTGAGGATGTTTCTTTCTATTATTCTTAGCTTATCTTAGTCAGGCACATTGTCTCTGATGCGTAGGTCATGACAGGTCTGATTGCTGTGTTGTATCAATGGGATTTTGTAGTGGCCATTAAGATCAGCTGATTTGTCACCCATCGAACGTGTGCGGGATATCGTAAGTCGAAACCTAAATCGATTGCCACGTTCTCCAGCACACTTAGAAGACCTGTGGCATGCCATAAGAAAAATCTGGATGAGTATTCCGCAATATGATATAGACCACTTAATTCGATCAACGGCCCATAGAGTAACTAAGTATATAAAAAATCAAGGAACAGCGACTCATTGTTAATTTTTTGACGAAAATGACGTTGCAAATTTGTTTATAATGTTTATAATGTAATAACATGAATATTTAAAAAAATATTTGTCCTACCTGTTGAATTTTTTTGGTCATCAGTATATATACTTCGTCTTTTCTTTATTTATTTTTAGCCCTTTAATTTTCTCTTCTTCTATCGAGAGTCATCAATTTTATTGTAATATGTAAGCTTTTCTTGTCCCTTACAGCTATTACCATGTCGTCAACGTATCCTATAATTTTTGTAGAGCTTTATATGATCATCTTGTTGATTGCAGTTTTTTTAATGGCTCCGGCCAGTGCTATCTTGTAGTAGACAAGCGATTACCTTGTCGTACTTCTATTTCTTTATTAACAGTTTCTGTATTTCATTTGGCTATTATAGGTACACCATTTCCCATTATCATTTTCGTTAATCTAATCAGTTTTTCTGGTATATCCACCAATTCCACCAGTCAAAAGGCTTGCTAGACGTCTATAAATAGTAGGTGTAAATTTATGTCATGTTCGTAGCATTTTTCAATCAGTTATGTTAGTATGTGGATGGCGTCTATGGTTGATTTTCCTTTTCAGAAGCCTTTTTGGTATTGCCTTAATGTATTTTGGGCGAATTTTTTCGTTCTGTTTCGCAACATGCTTGTTAACCATGTGATTTTAATAAATATCTGAATATTTAAATTTTATGAAAATGTTTCTAGTCTGGAGAAAGCCGAGAACATAAATTGCTGAACTTGGAGCTTCATTTAAGTTATCCTTTAATCCATGTAGTCGTCGTTCGTTTTGATATATAGGTCAGTTTACAAGAATATGTTTCACAGTGAGCTGACTGTTGCAGTATTATCTCAAAGATGGGACCTTAAACGCCATCAAACATCTGTTTGTTATCTTGGTATGTCCAATTCGTAGTCTTCTTAGTACTACATTTGATTTTATGCACATCTGCGGAGCTTCAAATGTACCTATGTTTGGATTTTTTTCAATTTGGATGGCAGCCTATTCCAGTGAGTTTTCCAGCAATTAAGTGTGAAACGATTACAGTGACTTTTCTGATCTATGCCAATTTAGATTCTTTTAGAATCAGTGGTTGATAACAGCGCTGCGTTTGCTGCACGATCGGTGGGTTCGTTGCCATCTTGTCTGGGTCCTCGGCAGCATAGCCTCCGTATGTGAGTATCCATACCGGCTTGCGTGGTGAAGTTTGTACCACAGACGCAGACGACCATCTCGCTCGATGGTTTGTAGAATAACTCGACGAGTAGGAAATAAAACTTACTCGCCACTTAGATATTTGGGACCTACGTTACTCTAAAAACTAAGGCTTCCAGGAAACTGGAAGGGTGTGTAACCTTATGGGAGTTCGAAAAATCTGACTGGTTAGTAACTACACAGGTACGCGGACTCAAGGATCCCAAAGGGACCGACCAAAGCTCGAATATGGCGCACACTACCAATCGGATACACTCTGTACAATCAGCAATTACTATTCGCCAAATCAGAGCCGCGTTCTAAAAAGTGCTCGTATTTCTGATCTAACGAATATGGATTCCCAGCTCTACCAACGAGGAGGTTTATACTAGGATGGTTTCTTGTGGTAAGGATAAAACACGACGTTCATCCAAACGCAAATATAACTGAAGGGCCGCTCGAAGCGGTTTGGAAGACTCTGTCGCACACACTTCAGCCAATTACGTCTTGCGAACGACAGGCCAAGCAAAACCACAATTGCAGAGCCAGGTACCCATATCGGAATATTTTTTTTCGAGATGACAGATGTTACAAGTTAGTGCCCATATTTGAAGAAATATGTGTTGGTATTAATGAGTTCATGGCGTGCAGTATTGGAAGTAGCTCGGCTGTGTGAATGCTGCAAATTGACTTAAGGATCGAGGTCGTAATGACATTTTTCGAATACTCACATGACTACTCAACTAAATTTCTGATTGTTCTTAGAACCGTCAGTATATATTATCCGATCAACACAGGATTTGTTAATAATATTTAGAAAATAGTGTTGCAGAGTTAGAAAACAGTGCGGATCGTGCTTTGGATACTGGATCTTGTTTATTTTTGTTGAAGAGGGGAGATTTTATTAGGGACTGTAGCAGTTAAGTCTGTGTTTAACAGGAGGTGAGGGAAGTTGTCGAATGGTTAGTATATCGTCCAACATTAAATCCGTGACCAATTTTGAATTCGAATTGGGTGACTACCGAAAGATTTGAACATTCGACGTGTAAATAAGTCACTATCAATATTCAATATCCGTTTTCCTACTTATAATATGTATAAGAATATTGTACTATTTGGTCTGACATGCATACTTCATTAACATGTATTTAAACTTCCATTACATTAAGCCGTTATTGTGTGACCAAAAATACTGATTGAAATAAAATAAAATGTAAAATGACGGGGTCACAATAGTGAAAATTTTAACAATTTTTTAATGTCAAGGTGATAAATAATGAAAAATTTGTTTATTTTGAAAAAATCTAGAAAATTTATTTTTATCTAAAATTATACTAATATTTGTTACAGACACCAACTGATACAAAACAGGATCTTAGAGAGATCCCCAACTTTCTCAATCTTCGTCGATCATCGTCTCTTACAATTGATGGCGAGATAGATCAATCGGATAAAATTACATTGATCTGTTCATCTCAAGAGACAGAAAATTTCGAACTACCTACTAACCAAATTCGAGGAAAAAACGAATTGATAGAACTGTCAGGGGAATGGGCGCGATGTCGGATGTACATATGTGCGGCATGCGGAGCTAAGCTTCCTAATGTCAGGTAAGAGTATATCGCAATAGACACAGACTTTTTTCATATAATTTAATGTATACACAATAGGTTAGGGTTTAAGTGTACAGACAAAAATTAGAAATTTTGTTCTATTTAAATTCGAAAGAGTTTCATAATTGTCAATAATTAAAATCGTAAGTCTTCTTAATATTTCTATCTATTATTTACTTATATTTATAATATTGTTATGAGTCGCATACTGCTAATTTCGGCTCTGTGCGTTAGAGAAGTCCAGAAGCCCCCCATCGCCCGAACTACGATAAAACGAAGAACTTCGAGAATTTTTAATTTTCACGAGGATTCTACCGTCGTCCCATTCTTCTGTTTTTGATAGCAGGCGGGCTACTATTTTAGTTGTATATTGTATTTTCGATTCTATACATTAGTTCGAATTCCTTTAAGCTATATTTATTAATGTTGCTAATAGTAATTGTGATATTTGTAATTAAGTTTTTGAATTACATAAAATTAGTTAAAGCACGTCGTGATTCACTTTGGTATTGAGGATCCGCCTACTTCCCTGCTACTTGTTCTCGGTCTTACTTTATGGTGTCGAGTCCTGGACTGTGAATAAAATCGATCTAAATCGCCTTGAGGCTTTCGAAATGTGGTGCGATAGAAGAATTTTCAAACTTTCCTGGGTGGAGAAGATTCGAAACTTCACAATACTAGAACGTCTCAGCAAGACTACTGAGATCATAAAAAGCATCAAACAGAGAAAGCTGGAGTATTTAGGACATGAGATGTCCCAAATATAGGTTGCTACAAAATATCATGCAAGGAAAAATAGCGGGCAAACGCAGTCCAGGACGAAGAAGAACCTCATGGTTGAAGAACTTGCGAAATTTATATGGTGTTGATACAAGCATGCTATTTAGGGTGGCAGTGAATAAAATTAAGATAGCTATGATGGTAACCAACATTCTGAAAGGACATGGTACATGAAGAAGAAGTTATTCATTTAATCTCCGAACCCACAGAATTAAGTAACAACTGGTGTCAGAATGTTTTGGAGAATTTCGACAGATTTACCTCGAAGTTAAAGTATAAGAGCTGTTGCATTCTGTTCGTTTGTCTGGTTTATCTTAAACTCTGTTGCTTGGTCTTTTCAAATTCTAGGCGGATATTTTCAAGAGTTCTAGTTACCTTAGCATGTCTTTTCTCTACTAGACCTCTTGTTACTTCCATTTCTTTAATCATGTCTTCTTTTGTTCCGTCTATTCTTGTTTTCATATATCTTCCTTACTCACCTTTGAGGCTTTTCTTTTTAATATAGGAGATATGAGCAACTCTCTTTCTGACGACGTCTCTGCTCAGCCTTTTCTTCTTGACGACGCGACGTCTCCCTTCAGTTTCCTTTTCTTCTTGCCGTTTTTCCTCAGCCTATTTTACTTCTCTTCGACGTTGTTCCAATGCGGCAATCATATCGCGAATCTTCTCTATATTGATCTCGCTTCTTGTTTTGATCATACAAATTCTCAAAAATAACTTCTTTTAACTTAATCCACTTCTGAATCCAGTTCTTACGTTATTCTACAACAATTTACTTCTGCCCATTTGAAAAAATAGTCAATTTCCAATAACAATATTAGGAAATAAATATTTGATGGTTGTTATTGACTATTTTTGCAAATGACCAGAACTAGTTTCATTAATCAACCAAGACGCAATCATAGTTGGTAAGGCCCTGCTTGATGATGTCCTTTACCGATATGAGGTTCCAATTCTACTCCATTCTCACCATGGCGCAATTTCGAATAGGAAGCTTGGAAGACCATAATGGCTCTGCTGATATTAAGAAGACCAGAACGAAACCTCTCCATCCTAAGTCCGACGGCATGGTAGAAAGACATACCCGAATTATCAGCAACCACCTGTTCCTGTTTGTACATGAAAACCAGAGAGACTGGGACATACTGGTGCCTCTGTTTCCGCTAGCCTACCGAAGGTCTCAACATTAAGCAACTGGTTACACTCCATCAGTACTATTGACTGGTCGAGAAATGAAGCCTCCTATCGACCTCCTACATTGCAACCTACCAGACAGGGAGGCGGACCAAGGGACACTCCCCGAGTGTGTCAGCGGCCTAAAGGATCACTGCTCATGGTCCACGATTTCGCAAGTAGTAAGCTGACACTCAGCAGTGGCCGGATGAAGGTTAGGTTAAATCAGAAATCCACTCTCCTTAGCTTCAAGCTAGAGTCTGGCTCTACCTACCAACGAGAAGGAAAGGCCTGGAGTCCTAAGTTGCAACGTCCCTGGGAAGGACCGTACCTGGTAACCTAAGAAGATAAACGACCTTGTATATAGGGTGCACCTGACGCCACGGAGTACGTCGTCCACTTCGAGAGACTGTGTGTTTATGAAGGGCAGAGTCCACCGATCCTAGTCCATTTAGGCACTGATCGGGGCGAACAGCCTGAAAGAAGGGGGCGATGTTGTGAGTCACATACCCCTGTGCGTTAGAGAAATCAAGAAACCCCTCCGTCGCCCGAACTTTGATAAACATATATCTTTCGAGAATTTCGGATTTTTCCGAGGATTCGGCCGTCGTCACATCCATCTGTTTTCGAGAATACTTCATTATCATTATATAAGCCAGTAGGGATAGGCTATTAGTATTACGATTGTATTCATCAGTGCCAGTTCTTCTAAGTGATATTTATTAATGTAATTAGTAATTGTGATATTTGTAATTAAGTGAGTTTTTGATTTAAATAAAGTTAGTTAACGTAACAATATGCTTGACTATTATTGAAAGATATAAGACTATAAAATATAAATAGATTTGAATTAATACATAATGAAATAAGAATTTCTTGAGAGGGAAATTCGCCAATGTTGTTGTTCATGTTCTAATATGGAGAATGCACACTACACTAAGAAGGAATTGGGATCATATCTGGTTGATTTTCTTATATTACAATGTCTAGATCTTGATCATCAATATTAATTTAATGGGTTTCAAATAAATCTTGTTAAGGTCTGTAAGTAGATTTTTCAATTTTTATTATTTTTTACATACTTCAGTCAAAATGCAAGGCTTATGGATAGATTTTTTTGTTCGGAGATAACTAAACAGCTCATTGATTTAGTTTTCCCAATGCTGAATTCTTGGCACCTTGTCGCTAGTAATAAGTTTAGTTGGATACTATTACTTGTTCGTTTTCTTAATAATTTTATATTTTTACAGATATCTCATGGACCATAAAACCATATACCACCAAAATGTCTGGGTACAGCATTATGAATTCGTAGGAAATCAAAGTGAACTTTACAGACATTTGAGCATACCAGCTCTCGGTAAAGTTGGTTATATAGAAGACAGTGTTCAGTATAAATCGTGGAAACGTAGTGATGCCCGAACATGTACTAAGTGCACGAAACATTGTAATACATTAGGTGAATTACATAGACATATTTTAGAATGCGGAGGAGACTGGACTTGGATGTTAGCAAGGAAGAAGTGTAAATATAGATATGGTGCTAAATCTAGACGAAAACGAAGAGGTATGTACTATTCTACATTTGACTGTAATTCAAATTAAAATTCAACAACATTTTTAATGCTCTGCTAATAATCTGCTTTAAACGCCTCAATTACTAATGGACTAAAATATTAACACATAGCTAATGACGATCTCACCCTTCCTACGTTTTTTTTTAAATATATTTGATTCATCCTAGATATAATATTCCAAATATTTCATAATAAAACATATAGGTATTTTTGTGTTTAATTTTAAATGTTTTGCTTTTTAAATTGTCTTTCAATTTGCATAAATTCCTCCTCTATCAATGTTAAGAAGTAATCTGTAAACTTTTTTTACAGTTTGGACGTACTTTTGATAGTATTTATTTTTGTCGGCTCTGCATAATGTTGAAAATTAATCTTTTTTTTCAAATATTTAGATTACAAAGTTTTTTGCGAAAACTCCTTCATAGATTGTGCTGAAATTTTGTGTAGTATTTTTCTATATTAAAAATATTTTCTGGGTAAATTTTGAATGTTCAATGTCATCATCATCACGTAGCGCTACAACCCTGGGTGGGTCTTGGCTGACTGTACCACTTTTTTCCAATTTGTTCGGTCTTCCATCAACCTAGGGTCAAATGGACGTTCATTCTCCGGAGATCTGGTTGGATGTTATCTTTCCATCGCATTCTGGGACGTCCGAGTGGTCTTTTGCCTGTGGGAATCTCCTCCCATACCATGTTCTATGTGGATTTTAAATACCTGAACAAGATTATTGAATAAATATTGATTTTGACCCTTTTTTAATGGTTTTTGCTATTTTTGCAATTATATAATCATATAATAATTATACAAATATGTGTAATTAGAAGTTGCTTTTTGATTTTTTGAACACAGATATTTGCATAATTTCTAAAAAAATCGTATCTCTATTATTTTCTGACTTGCGTCATTGCAAAAAAAATTATCTTTGAGATAAACAGTCATTATAATTTTTAAAATAATTATTGATGAATCGATCTGAAATGAGGAGGGTTTATTAAGTCACAAGGTACATCTATTGCTGCAATAACAAAGGTGTAGGTTGGTTCTTACGTGGCTTATAAACAATTAATGAGTCTTATGCTATTTTATGAGCAACAAATTAATTTTATATCTTATAGAATTCGTCATTTTAAAGCTTTTGCAATGTTTTTTTTTTCTATAAAAACTCCAGTTTTCGGACTTAATTGTTAATAATTAAAAAAACAACACCGAAATCTGTGCAACAAACATATAGGTTTTTTTGCTGTAGGCATATATTACCTAGAGCAAGAAAGATAGTATGGAATAGTGTAGATAATATATACAGTGACTCACAGTTTAAATGATGCAGTAGCTACTTAATTAAACTAGCTTGTGTCAGTGGTTCAATATTTATTGGAAAAAATTTAAATACTGAAATTAAATTACTGTAAGTCTTTTAAAATAATGTAAGCCATATTTTGGGTTTCAAATATACCATACCTAAATGAAACAAGAAAATTAACAAAGAAAACAAACTCTATGCATTGAAAAATCTTTTTCTTCCTCTTTATAAGCAATTCTGCTTGTTCATTGGCGGATTAATACCTCTATGGAAGGTTGTCACTCCATCTTTTGCGCGGTCGTGCGATACTTTTTCTGCCGATTGGTGACTTATCTCTTACTACTTTGACGACACGGGTCTTCTCCATTCTGCTTATGTGGTTATTTCAAACTTTTCTTTCTATTTTGTGTCCATTCATTTATACATTGTACGTTACATTTTTTCCTAATGTCTTCTCTTTCGATCTCTCAACGTATTTCCTGTATTTCTTCTCAGTACTCTGTGCTGGGTCTTGTTTCTGAGGCATATGTCATTATTGGTCTTACACTGGCTTTATAAATTCTTGATTTCATCTCAGTGTTAAAGTCAGTTTCGCCATATAGTGTAATTAAGGCATCCTGCCAGTTTATTTGCTTTTTGTACTTGATCTCTCACTTCTTTGTCCAGGTCTCCATAGGTAGACAGCGTAATTCACAGGAAAAATGATTACCAATATTTTGTAGATTCTCCTTCATTATCAATTACAGCCTGTAGTCGTCTAGGTATTGATTCGACGAACTTTATAATGTACTCTGGGGGAATTATGTCTCAAGCTTCAGTAATTTTTATTTACAATTCATTTCTAATTGGTATTGGGGTACTATTTACTTTATTTTTTAATGTCAACCACAGATTTTCAATAATACTCAAATCGACTGGTGTTTTAATGACATTTCTGCAATTCTAAAGCAACCAAGTACGAACTCGATATGACGTGTGCTTTGGATCGTTATCCTGATAAAACCGGTAATTGTCATTAATACGTCATTTTTGAGAACTAGTAGCCAAATGCTGTCTTAGTATATTTAAGTACATGTATTGGTTCATATTCCATTCAATAAAATGAATGTTACCTACTCTTGCAAATGACATACACTCCTACATTATCATCACTCCACCTCCACTGTGCTTTACCGCACCTTTCATATTTTTAAATTTTAGTTCTTTATCCACACCGGTATTTTTCCATCGAACCCAAACAAGTTTATTTTGGTTTCATCAACAAAAAATATTACTGAATTGCAAAGTTTCTTTGTTAATATGCTCCCAGCGAACACAAATCTAATACGTCTATTTCTTTGGCTAATAAAAGGTTTATTTCTAGCACTTCGACCATGTAGGTTATTCTTTCGTAATATCCGTCTAATTGTTGTGGGGTTACATTGTTTTCCAAACTGTCTTTCTATCTTATCTCGCAATTTTGTGCAATTTTTTTAGGATTATTTGCTATTTCTCTTGACAATCCATCTTTTCTCACTTTCGGTAAAAATCTTATTTGGAGCTAACCTTGATTTATTTTCAACTCTATTTGCATTTCGGTAACGTTCACTAAGATGCTGAACTGTTGATGAACATTTATTTATATTTTGGATATGTCTCTTTGGCTATATCCATTTCCTTGGTGAGTAATAATTAAATTTCTTTCACTAATCGTAGTTAGGCGACTCATTCTCAAATAATTTTAATATTTGTCGATTAAATACTTTGAAATATCAAATTAATTATAAAAATAACTGTGGCTAAATGGAAACCCAAAAAATAGCTTATGCTATTTTGGAAGACATAGTAATTTAATTTCAGTATATTTTTTTCTAATAAATATTGGGCTGCTGACACAAGTAAGTTTTATTGAGTAGCGACTGCATCATTTAAGCTGTTAGCCACTGTATGTAAAGAAAAAAAAATAGGTAAAGAAATAATAATAAGACTTACTCACAATCAATTTAATTTAACAATCAGACGACCGGTTTCGCTTTCTACAATTTGCAAAGCATCTTCAGGTCTAGATACAAAGTTAAACTAATGCTGCAATAAAATAAACCCAATTAGGGTGGTGTCTAATAAAGATAAAATAAACACATAAGTTAGTTCATACAAATTATAGTAATTATGCTAATATTACATGTCTGTGGTTTTCAAAATGAATAAATTTGAATATATAAAAGGTATTAACAGACAAGGTAAAACCCACAATTGGTATAAAGTAGTAATATTATATTGTAATAAATTAATAAATGAGAAGATAAATAAAACAAAATAAACATTACTTACATGCCGGTACTCTATTAATTGATGGATGGTAGGTCATGGTTGCAAAAATCATGTATTGTTGATTGGAGAACTTTAATGTGCTATTGCAGTTGTTTTGACAATAAATATCTCATTTAAAAGTGCCTCAAATTTAGGATTGACTTTCTTAAATAACAAGGACAAACGTAACTCACTTGAGTATAGCGGAGTGTATAAGTTGAGCTGCCATACCTGCAATGCATGTTACATCGGTAGAACCTTTAGATCCTTCAATACCAGACTAGGGGAACATCTTAGATATATAGAACGTCCAACATCAGGTCGAATCACATTTCTCCCAACATATCCGTCGAACAAACCACATCTTTGATCCACAAACAGATTTCACAATCCTTCATACTTGTAATAAAGGCTCCTTATTAAATAACCTAGAACATTTAGAAATATTAAAATCATTAAAAAATCAAACAACAGTTACACTTAATGCACAATTAGAATTAGAATACACACCAGTATACTCAGTATTATTATAAAAAAATTTTTTCAATAAAAATAATATTACCTGAACCTACTCCATTTCTCGTTTCTACAGTAGATCCATATACTTAGAGAATTGTTACCACAAACATCAACTTATCATATTAATCTTCCATATATTTTCCATTAACATCACACAATATTTTGTAGTAACTTCAATACCATAGTAACAACATTTTGTCCCAGAACCCTTTTAATCAAATACATCTGATATACAGTTTTGATATACTTCTCAGATTGTTTCAAATCTTCAACATAAAATTAAAATCCAGCGCACCATGATGGATCGAATTTCTTGTTCACAGAATTTCTCCTCTTTTCTTTTCTTCAACATATCACCAATAAAAATAAACTTTCCTAAAACTAAATTAAACATCAGTAATGAACTGGTATGGTACCTCAACTTATTTAACCCATAATAATTATTATTGCATTCCATCTGGTTTCGACAAATACTTAATTTACAACATATTTCATTTCAAACTCAACACGTGGTTTATGGATTTCCAACATGACTGGAAAATTGTTTAGACTAGCAGTTTGGATTACATATATCTATACTATTCATAATCCTGTACAGATTTATAATTTAAATAGAAATATTAACTTTCATACACAGATATTAATTTTTTAAAATAATTTTAAAAATTTTTACTAAAACTACTGTAAAAACTCACCAGTGTTCTTGTCGGTTTGAGGATTGTCTGTTCATATGATACAAAGAATTGAAATAAAAGTATACTTTACACCGGTTTAAATGGGTACCTGCTGCCCGGGGATGGAATCAATTTCCGGTTCCAATTGTCATATAAATTAGTATTGCCAGCTAATTATTCAAGACTTAAGTCAGTCAATTACTCGAACTCAAAATTTGAATAATCATCAATATTCACCCAATTACTACTTTATTTAATTATTAATTATTATAATTTAAATTAAATATTTTAAGAAATGATTATACAGCATAACAGATAGCTCAGACCGACAATTATTTCAAATAAAAAAATTTTCAGGCAATTTGTAAATTTGTTATACCTTTCAATTACAAGTACACTTGTTTGCATTTACTAAATAATCATTTTAATTTGTTCTGAAAAATTCAGACTAAAATTGGTTAGTTATAACAGATGATGTTCAATTATTCACATTGTTACATTAAAAATTCTTTGAATTTGAAACTTATTAATTAAAATTGTTAAAGTATGCCAATATTAAACACATCAATTTACTTTTGATTTCTAAATTAAAACAAATTTTGAGACATTCATTAATATCAACATACTCCATAATACTGAATAACTAAACTTACAGTATTTAGTAATAGAAGAAGAACTGTCACACTTCAACCTACATATGTCAAATTAGCCTCTTAAATCAAATAGATTAAATATGAAAAAACTCATTATTTCCAACACTGAGATGTAGTGCTTACAGTTTCTTCCATTCCCCAAGTTTAAGTTTTAAATTCAATGTTTGTCCCGTCATTTAGTGTTTCTGTTCCTGTTAATGTGTGTTTAATTTGTCCCTGATTGTCTTAATTTGTAATAATTTTATATACTTTTTATATACTTGACTCTACAATAATTGATTAATTTTGCCAATAGACTTGATAATTACCAGTCAAAATAATTGCACAACCACACAATCGGTACAGCTACTCTTATTCATTGTCATAAAACTGTCTCCTTCATAACATAAATACTCAATAAATAACACACATTCCAAAAAAAAATATCTCTGATATAAGTGTAAATAATTTAAATAATACAATAGTAAAGAACATCACTTTCATCTGACAAACAACCACAATATACCTATCTCTAATTCATTGGATCAAATCTGTTCTCCTCAAGAACTTCCCGTTTATTGTCAAAACAACTGCAATAGCACATTAAAGTTCTCCAATCAACAATACATGATTTTTGCAACCATGACCTACCATCCATCAATTAATAGAGTACCGGCATGTAAGTAATGTTTATTTTGTTTTATTTATCTTCTCATTTATTAATTTATTACAATATAATATTACTACTTTATACCAATTGTGGGTCTTACCTTGTCTGTTAATACCTTTTATATATTCAAATTTATTCATTTTGAAAACCACAGACATGTAATATTGGCATAATTACTATAATTTGTATGAACTAACTTATGTGTTTATTTTATCTTTATTAGACACCACCCTAATTGGGTTTATTTTATTGCAGCATTAGTTTAACTTTGTATCTAGATCTGAAGATGCTTTGCAAATTGTAGAAAGCGAAACCGGTCGTCTGATTGTTAAATTAAATTGATTGTGAGTAAGTCTTATTATTATTTCTTTACCTATTTGATATGGACTCACACAAGCAACACATTCATGATTTAAAAAAAAAAATAATTCCAAAAATGAACCTCGAGTTATTGGTAGACCATTTTAAATTGAGATTAAGCAAGGGATATGTTTTTAATAGTGTAAACCTAATAGAAAACAATAGGGAACAAAATAATAGAACAGATTACTTAAAGATTTGGATAGAAAAATAAGTATAACCAATAAACAAAATTCTGCACAATAAGCAGGTAAATTAATGGGAAAAAGAAAGGCAATGAGGCAATTCCGCTGTGGCAGAGTAGTTAAATCAAACAAGAAAGAGTAGTTATAATTTGTCGATTAAGAAATATATAATATGATAGCCAGGAAGTGTATTGGGGACGGAAAAACAGGCAATGTAGCCAAATTTTGACAAACATTATTTAAAACTTAATATAAAAACGGAATGTGGCTCACAACGGGATGAAGCATAGCTTTCTTCTTGTCTACGCACGAAGCGATGGTTTTTAATTTAATTAAAGTCCATTCGATTAAGTTATTATTTATTTTATTTTATTTGATTATATTTCACTTTATTTTATTTTATTTTGTTTTATTTTAGTTTACTTAAGTAAGAAATACGCATTGGACTGCGTTTACTACTAAACCTAATGTGCGGTAGCGGGATCTGTCGTTACATTGCGTTCTTTGTAGGTTTTCACACCTTCTCGGTACGATCTATTGCATCGATCAATGCATTCCGTCCGTAGTCCGCAAAAAGAAAGTTATGCTTCCAATTATATAAAAAATTATTATACAACTCTTTTTTTCTCTTATCTTTAGGTTTGGTACTAAGGGTTCATCATCATAAACGAAAGACTGATTCTACCGAAAAGAAAATATATAAATATGATCGCCCCAGGCAGCGCCCAAGTGATGGTAAGGATACAAATTACTTTTTACAAACTTAGGTGTTGAATAAGTTTTGATCTTTTAATAATTAGTATATTTGTTAAATTTATCAAATCAAAACAATCAAATCTAAAGCAATTAATCCCACGTAATTTAAAACAAAAGTCTAACATTTTTGTAGTTACTTACTTAAGCCCCTTCACCTTCTTCTTCTTAGAGTGCCGTCTCCCTACGGAGGTTGGGAATCATAATGGAAATTTTTATTTTAGAACTTGCAAACTAGAACTAAACAAATCAATCGATCTACATTGATACCAATCACGCAGATTTTTTAACCATGAGTTCTGCCTTCGGCCAACAGATCTTCTTCCTTAAGTCTTTCCCTGTATTATCAGTCTCAAAATTTAATATTTTGGTCCCCTCATCACGTGACTTGGTATTCCAGTTTTCTAATTTGTAAAGTGGTGATTAGTTCTGTTTCTTTATCAACCCTCTCCAGTATTTCTTTATATGTAATTCTATCAGTCCATGATATTTTCAATACTCTGCGGTTTAACCAGAGTTCGAAGGCCTCGATTCTTTTTAAATTACATTTTTTTAATGTCCAAGTCTCAGCTCCATACAATAATATTGAAAATATATAACAGTGAATGGTACGTAGTCTGATCTCCAAATTAGATTTTTGCACGTTAAGAGTGGCTTCATTCGTATAAATGCTGATCTGGCAATCTCTATTCGCCTGTTTATTTTTACAGTATGATCATAGGTTTCATTGATCAAAGTTCCCAAATACTGATATTTTTCTACTTGTTCTATCACGTTACCATTGATTGTCAATAGGTGATGTATATTTTGTGGTCTTTTTGTAATCAGCATGTACTTCGTTTTTTTATTGTTTATAGTAATTCCCATCTCAGCACTATTCATACTCAAGCTTTCGATAAGATGTTGTAGATCTTCTATACTCGTTGCTATGATCACAGTGTCGTCTGCATATCTTAAGTTGTTAATTAATTTTCCGTTAACGGTGACTCCCGCTTCGATATTATTGATCGTGTTTTGGAAAATTTCTTCAGAATATAAGTTAAAAAAAAGTGGGGATAAAACACATCCCTGTCTAACTCCTCTACAGATCCTCATTTCTTCAGAGTGTTGCCCATCAATTTGAACTATGGCACTTTGGTTCCATTATGTTTGCACTATATTTATGATTTTACTGTCAATGCGCTTGTTCATAAGTATTGATATTAGTTTTTCATGTTTTACTTTATTGAAAGCTTTTTCGTAGTCAACGAAGCACAAGTGTAGATCAACATTTACATCCCGACATCGCTGAATCAATATGTTGTTGGCAAATAGTCCTTTTCGAGTACCCATTCCATTTCAGAACCCGAACTGCGTTTCGCTAATATCCTCCTCTAGGCTTTCGTATATTCTCTTATGTATTATTTTTAGCAGAACTTTTCAAGTATAACTCATGAGGCTCAGTGTTCGATAATCAGAGCACTTTTTGCTGCTTGTTTTTTAGGGATGGTTATAAATGCTGACATCAGCCACTCTTGTGGTATAATTCCCGTATTGTACACCGTGTTGAATAAATCTGCCAATACTTCCAAGTTATCCTCTTCGACTAGTTTTAACAGTTCTACTGGTATTTCATCTAGCTGCCTTATTGTCTTTAGAGTTTTTGATAGCATATTTGATTCACCACTATGTGGTAAAAGGGTTTTTTGGACATTTTGGTTTTTAAACAAAGAAACGGAAGAGGAAACATTTTTCTAAATTTCTTTATGCAATACAATCTAACAATTACCAATGCTATCTTTAAAAACAACCTACGGCGAATATATGCACTGTTCAGCCTAGGAGTCCTCTGGACTGCTCATAGCACAAATATTTCTATGTTAAAGCTTAATATTAAAACAAGTCTATCTACAGCGACTTTTTCAGTTCTTTGGGCACGTGGCCCGCAGGAATGAAAATATTTTAGACAAACTCCAGAAATCTTGGAAGGAGGGAAAGGGGATAGTCTCAGACTCAGTTAACTAACCAAACCCAGCATTTAAGAGGCCTTTCATTCTATGAAACAGTTACGGCAGCTAAAGATGGACGTATCTAGTTGAGTGCATTAGGGAAAATCATCCTATATAAATTCTTATTCTAAAAAGGGCGGCAACACTGTAAACAATTTTGATAAACGCTGAACTGTCATTGAAGTTTGAAGTATTTGCGTATCAGTGGCGTACGATTGTCTAATCTAATCTATTTAACTAAAATTATTATTTTGTGGAATATGAAACTTAAACAGATATTTCATAAAATTTATATCTATTATTAGTAATAAAAAATATATTTGGTTATTTAATCAATATAAATCTAAAATTCTTAATTTTTTTAAAGCCCTTTTCTATATTCGGATTGCCGAATATATAGGCCTCTCCTAATTCTCGCCATTCATCTCTGTTGTTTGTAAGACTTTTCCACATGTTTCTTATTGTTATATTATGTTGACCCCCATGACAGATCGAGCAGTTCTGTTTGGGTGTCGTATTATTAGTTGTATTAGGGAAATTTGAATTCTTAAGGTTAATGTTATGGAAATTTTAAATCCAAGTGAAGTCAGTGAATAAATCGTGACGTGCAATGATTTTACTGAGAAAAATACTATAATATACATACATACAGGCTGGAACATCAAAACGGAATAAATTCGATAATTAATAAATGGGAGCGTGTTCAAAAAACGCTCAGTCACGTCGATTGGTATTTTTATTTGCGCATATTTTGCAATACAATTTTTTATACAGGGTGTGCCAATACCAACTTTTTTATTTCAAAAACAAAATCCTATATTATTAAATTTTTGGATTCCCCAGAATATTCTAGATATATTTCTTGTACAATGTCCTATACATATCTTTAACTGTTTTATAAATTTTAAGTGTTTTTAGATTTATTGCAAAATATCCTACAAAACTAATTTGTGATAGCGTTTATTTCTTGATAATGTAGAAAACCAAAAATACATTAATGAGATTTTAGATGTTTAAAATGCTTGCCGCGAATGTCTTGGCAGCATCCTAAACTTAATTAGAAATTTCTTCTAACGTCACTTAATATTTCAGCCATGACCGATTTAATTGCATGCGTTAGTCGTCAAGTCAGCTAAGTCGAGGGGTTTAGTTTTGTATGCAATATTTTTCACGTATCCAATAAGATGAAGTCTAATGGAGTCAGATAAGGAGATCGTGCTGACCATTCCATCGATCCTCACCTGCCTTTTCACAGATTTGGAAATATTCGGTTAAGATACTGTCGAACATTGATTTGGTCATGTGGTGGTGCTCCACTTTACTCTTGGTGAAAAGTATATCATATTCGGTGGCATTTTTGAGTTTACTGGATCATGATATAAGTTTCCCAAACTTGGTATGACATTATTTTTGAGAAGTGCTAAATAATCATCGCCATTTAAATTGCCATCAACGAAAAAGGATCCTATAATGTGATATCCTACAATTCATGCCCATGCAGTAACCTTTTCAATGTATTGTGTATAATCTCTCATCCAGTGAGGATTTTCCCTAGGCCAATAGCGGTAATTATTACTATTAGCATGCCCGTGAACCGTAAAAGTACACTCATCAGAAAACAAAACATATTCTAATAATATCATTGTTATCTAACATTTCCATTATTTGTTCACAAAATATGTTCTCTAATCTACGTAGTCTTCCATGAGTTCCTGAGTATCATTTTATAGGAATAAATTTTATTTTGTTTTAATGTTAGAATAATCGATGAATGGCTAACATTAAACATTTGGGCTATTTTTTGATTAGAAGTATGTTGATTTTCATCAAACTTAAGCACAATATCCATTTTGGCAGCATTGGCTATTGAATTGGCAGCTGCTTTATGTCCAAGCTCGCGAAACTGCTTTTCTATTTTACTAATTGTTCTTTGAAATACAGGCGGTAAATTTGGTAAACATTCTTAATGTTTCATGAAATAAGCGAGCAACATCCATGTGTGTTCGTGTTTTGTCTCCATATATATCGATTTGTTATTTTGTGAATTTCTGTTAAATGAACCATTTTTTTGATATGTACTTAAGGAAATTCAAAGGAGTGTCATATTCAAACGAGTGATAACTACTGTCACAAAACAATTTGCTAATGTCAAGCGTTTTAGACTAAAATAAAAAATGTAGTAAAGCATTTTTGTTATTTCATATCAGTAAAAAGACGGTACAGTAGCCGGTACTGTAGACTAGAGCAAAGTTTCATACTATGTTTTTGTATTTTTTCATTTTAAATATTATTTTCAAAATTGAATAAAGTAATTTTATTATTTATTTATTATTTTTTTACGATTTTTTACAATCATCGATTTGCAAAGTTTATTTATTTATTTTATCAATTTTTGTGTACATTCGGATGTACATAAAATCGTTTTAGTTAATATCCTTGTTATAGATTTTAATAAAACTACGTGTATAATGGACTCTCCTTCTCGCATAAATGGACTCTTCTAACTATTAGGCGTTTTAGACTAAAATAAACATATAACCGGAACGGGGACCACTAACGCGGTCCGTGCGTCCGGGACGTCGGGGGACGGATGCGGCGATGGGAATGACTGAAAAGAATACGAGGGTAATACTTAATGACAAACTGTCAAGATTTAATTTAAAATTACAAACTTGGCGCGCATGCGTTCCTGTACCGGGACGATTGGTGATAATTTCTAGGTATCCGCTTGTATGATTAAATGGAGAGTGAGCATAATGCAGAGTAGCATAATGCGGGCACTAAGAAATGAATGTATAGCAATGAGAAGAAGGTTAACGAGAGCAAGGAGCAGAGTACGGATCAACCCTGAGGTCATCGAGGAGATCGAGGAAGAATACCGCACAAGTAAGAGGGAACTTTACAGGAAAATCCGTACAGAAAAAGAAGGCACTAGAAAGAGTTGTATGAAAAGGATGAGGACATCTGGGGTCAAGGATACAAGATTGTCATGAAGAAATTCCATGCGCCCTTTCCGGACGGCAGATGGATGGTGTATCAAGGGATGAGGGGCTGAGCGGGGGCCGTACCTTTTACCATAAATGAACTTGTGGAGGCATTGGGTTCACTCTAGAGGCGGTGAAGAGTCTAGGACGGGCGGAGCCTGCGTGGCTTCTGGAACACATGAATGCACTGCTGGGAGCTCAAACCTTTTCTGAGCCTTGGACGACATCGAGGTTGGTACTGCTCATCAAGGCTGGGGAAAAGTATTCCCCATCTGTTTTCTTCCATGCATCGGCAAGCTGTATGAAAGGATGCTGCGAGTATGCATAGACGACGTGATTGAGATGTCAGGTGGTTTATCTCAGAGGCAATTTGGTTTTTGTAAAGGGAAAAGCACGACTGATGCAATCGTGAGTGTACTTGAAGCATTGCGCAACAGAGGGGATGAACATGACTGGGCTTCCGTGCTGTTGTTAGATGTTAGGAATGCATTCAATACGCTGCAGTGGAAGGCACGATCGTGGACGTGTCGGCCGGGGTTGCCCAGGAATCTGCCTTCTTCCCGACGCTATGGAACCTGACATATGACGGGGTTATGAACTGTGAATGCCGGGTTCGGAACGCAGGCCGCGTCGTAAAGAAATGGATGACGCAGCACGGACTAAAACTTGCGGCAGAGAAAACCGAAGCCATCATTCTGAAGGGAAAAGGAACAGGCAAAGTGTTGAATTACAATGTGCGGAAGAATGTCTAATACCCAAGAAACGTGTAAAGTACCTAGGAGTGACATTGCACCAGAATGAAAAATGGGGGGAGCACGTGCGGGAGGTGTCCCGGAAGGCTGCGAATAGTACGGCTGCGTTAGGAGGGTGATGTCCAACATTGGGGAACCCAGAACAAGTCTGATGCGAGTGACATGCGCCTACAGGACTGTGTCTGCGGCAGCCTTGTGGACCATGACTAGATGTGTTCCGTTGCTTGTTTTGGCGGTGGAAAGGAAAGAGCTCTATGAGAGAAGAGGCCCTCACTATGGCCAAGAGAAGACAGGAAAGGGAAAGGTCGATTGAAAGATGACAAGAAGAATGGAACAACACGGAGAATGTGGCACAGTGGATGAAAATACTGATCCCGAACATAAGAAATTGGGTGGACTGTGGCCACAGGCGACTGTATTATTTCCTGACGCAGGTTCTCACAGGACACGTGTGTTTTAGGGCCTACCTCTCTAGGTTCGGGAAGGCTGACACAGATGAATGCCTACTGTAGAGTACAACAGATGGATAATAGAACGGAACAGAATGGAAAGAGAAGAGAGAAAGGTGCGAATTTTTTTATAGCGAGAGAAATGATTTAGATAATAATTGAAAATAAAGAGGGTTGGACTAACGTACACAACTATATCCGTGCAGTGATCAAGAAAAAAGAAGAGGGAGAAAGCTGAACCAACGCCAAAGGTAAAAGGGAAAGATGCTGTAAGTTGAAGCTAGAAAAGTGGGTCAGACTGTATTAGTTAGACTGTGGGGAAGGAGGAACTGTCCGTCTGTGAGTGATGTCGCACTAGGAGCGATGAGGGTCTTCTACGCGCTACCAGGAACGAGACAGGGAGTCTCTTTACTGACGAATGGAGTGTGGATGTGGATGAATGGAGAATTAATAAATGAAGGAAGTGCTTCGGATGTGATGCCAGCTTTACAGCGGCCACTCCGTTTCCGGATCGCTGTATGACAGAGAAGGGTCTGGTTTAGCAGGTAGGCGTTGGGCGTAGACTCGGCGACGAGAGGGCATTTTAAAGTACCGTTCGCGTCATAAAAAACTGGTGCAACTCTTATAATCAAAAATCGTGTTTTTTAAGTTGTGTACATTGATAGTCACATGTGTCATTATAATTTATAGGGCACCGTTGCCAGTTCAACGAAAATTTTATATGAAACCAGCTAAGAGCAGAGCCGTGTGACAGACCGCCAGTTTTGAGTATACTAAAAACTAAAACATTATCGAGGTTTCTCGGTCAGTCAGTCACATTAAATTTGTTTAAATGTGCATCCTAAAAAATTCTCATATTAATTTTGTAATTTTCCATCATCTTAATTAAGTACCCATACATTGATTTGTGTTTTATAACAATTTATGAAAATATTTCAATTCAAAAATATGGATGGATAATGAATCTAGACATAACTTCAAATTATTATAATAAAACATTACAGTGAGATATTGGATTGTAACTGCCACGTTTTGAAAAGCGCTTTTTCGACCCGAATATTTTATAGTTTATAATACGCAGGATAAAATATAATGTTAATTTTTTACATTTTTTATTGTTCTTGTAATAAATAATAAATTAATGTTGGTAGTTGCCTGTTACAAAACTTATTGACACAAAATACAGGTCTTGTTCGGTAGGTAACTATAAGTAAGTAAGTAGACAATTACAGTAGCCAATACCCTAGGTTTAAAGATCCTTAAAATATTTTAGATATTAACTCAACCCTATCTCTGGTTATTTAATCTCTTAGATACCGTCTTTTGTTGTTATTGATAAAAATAATACCTATCTAAAAACTTTATACATTTTTGAACGTTATTTTTTATATTTAGATTTTGTGCACTTCCGTTATCTGTGATGGCAACAACGAATTGATTTACGAACCATTGTGTCCAGTCTGAACACAGGTTTACATTGGGAAAAAAAGTGTACCAGTTTTATATGACGGGAAGTGTTCCTCAGGAACTATGTCTTTTGAAGATTCTAGGCCCCCCCTCAAAAAGACAAAAAAAAAAGACTAAAATAAACATCATTTTGTAATTATCAAAGCCGACATAAAAAACAAGCATTGCGTGTGTTGGAGCAACTTTTGGAATAAACCGATAAACACTTAACAGTTAAAGATAGACATAGGGCATTATACATTCTGGGTAATTCAAAAATTGAATAATATACACCGTGTTGTGTTTGAAATAAAAAAGTTGGTATTGACCACTGTTAGGCACACCCTGTATAAAAAGTTTTTTTTACAAATATGTAGCTGTTCCAACCTGTATACAACTTATTTTATAAATAAATGGACGTCATTTCATTTTTTTATAACCGTTTTGTAAGAACGATCGGATAAATTTGATTTTAAAATATTTATATAAAAATTAAACAAAATAAATTACATTAAAATAAATGAAATGAAATAAAATTCATTAAAATTAAATAAAATTATTAACTATAATTTAATTATTAAATAAAATTAAAAAGATTGATAAAATTAAATAAAATTAGATAAAATTAGATGAAATTACATAAAACTAGATAAAATTAAATAAAATTAAATTAAATTAGATAAAATAAATAATAAATAAAATTAAATAAAACTACATAAAGTTAGATGTAAATAAAATTAGATGAAATTAAATAAAATAAAAAAAATTAATTCAATTAAAAAAAATTAGATAAAAAAATAAAATAATTAAAATTTGAATTAAAAATTAAAATTAAGAAAAACAAAGTTCAATAAATTCGATAAAATTAACCAAAATAAATAAAAGTAAATAAAGTTAAATTAAAGTAGATGAAATTAAATAAAATATAATTAAATAATATTAAGTGATAAAATAAATCAAATTAAAAAATAAAATTAAACAAAATATAATAAAATTTGGTAAAATTTAATATATATTAGACATAAAATTTCAAAAATCAAAAAATCAGAAATTATTCGATAAGTGTTTTTCTCAATAGGATAATAAAATTACCTAATACAAGGTTTTCCTTCAATTTACTTCATTCTTTATTTTTGTTGAGTCACTATGGTTTTTCTTCGGTAATTATGGGTTGTCCAAGGTATTTTTAACGTATGTCTATTCATCTATTTGGCTAATGCTTTAATTTCTTTCAACGTTGCTTATTTGATATTCCATATGGTTACGGATAACATATGGCAGCGGAGATCAAATACTTGATTATTCTTTATTCTCAATAATTAGTCTTAGTTCTAGGTAGTCAGTGAGATAGAATTTGCTAAGAAATGTTATTTTTTAAAAAGTGTTTCAAAACGACCATATTTTTTGTATTATTTCTTTGATATTATGTGTTACATAAAAAACTAGCGATATAACATTTTCATTGTTAATTTAGAGTTAAAACTAACTTGACTTTTTTTTCTTTAGCTGAAACGATCCAAAGGATGTTGGCCAACCTACCAGCAAAACGCTCTACTCGAAAATTAGTATCCCACTATGATGGAGTCCGACGACGAAAAAATAAAGAACTAGAAAAAGTAAAACAGAAAAAAGTAAAATGCGGTAAAGTAATTTACAGCAAAAGTAGTAATATTAAAGAAAATACAGAAAAGACAATTAACAGAGCAATACCTCATAAGCCACAAAAGCCCAGCCAATCGTCAAATATAAGGTCGCTAAGAAGCCTAAATAGGGTACTATCTAGTAGAATTCTAGATACAAACTCGAAACTATCGGTTAAACGAAAACTTAAGGTTTTAAACGACAGGCGAAGAACTAGACAGTCTACTGTAACAGAAAATACAAGAAAAAAAGAAAAGTATGTTGAAGATGTTAGTCAGTCTTCATCTAGTCCGCAAACAAGAAAGAAAACCGAAAAATCTGAGCCTAGCACTCCAGAAACACCTAAACGAACTTCACCAAGAACTACAAAAATGGTACGAAAACTAGCCGTCAAGAAGCTTTTAACAGGGAATATAAATATCAAATCATTTTTTCCCGTCAAAAAACGAAAGGACAAAATGGAAGATAAAGCTGATGTGACATCCGAAAATATTGTAGATAAACACACAAGGAGTAAAAAGAAATCAATAGAACAACCAGAAGAAAAAGAAGAAAAAGTACCATCTGATAGTAAATCTAAGAAAAATGATAAATTAAATATTATCGTAAAATCTTTAGCCGTTAATAAAAAGAAAAACACAAAGAAGGTTAGTCAAATAGAAATTACTGAAAACAATGAAAGTGACTCCAATCAAATCATTCAGAGTAAAGAAGACTCAGAGCTCACCAAAAGAAAGCGAAAACTGAAACAGAGCTTTAAAAATGTCATCAACCGAGTAAAGAAACTGAAAATCGATAGTACGATAGAAAAATTACCAGTTATTGACAAAACTAAATCTCCTGCCAAAAGTCCTTTTTTAGACAAAGCGAAACAAGAAAAAGACCCAGTGAAGATAGTTATCCCATCTACCATAGAAGCAAAAGAAAATATAGCTGACATATCAGACACTGCCCATACTGTGATTAAATTTAATGAAACAAACGAAGATTCTCCTGTTCCCGAGAACATATTTAAACTTGATTCTGATAATGAGAAAAGTTTACAAGCTAAAGGAGAACCTAACTTTGATTCTGAGCCTCCAACTACCACCGAAACTACCAATATTCAAAACAAGCTATCATTTCCGGATGATCAGGAAAAGTTACAACCTATATCGATAGAAACATCTGTTAAACCTAAAGTTGTAGGCATGATTTCGCCCAATATGAAAGGAAAAATTAGAAAACCTGCTAGAGGCCTTAATGATTGTATTGCAATGCTAACGAGCAAATTGCAACAAAAGTCCACTGACCCTCCCAAATTGAGTAACTCGGAAATACTATCTTCGGTAACAGCTCCAAAAATAGTAACCGATCCTTCTCCACAAAAAGCAGAGTGTATATTAAAAATCCCTACTTTTAAAACCCAAAGTGAACCAACTGAGGATGTAGCGCTGGATCTTAGCATAAAGTCAAAAAACAAAGATAATAACTCATTTTTACCCGCACCTAACAAAATTCTTATCTCAAACGATTCACCTTGGCAGTTTACTAGACTAACATCGGTTGAAAGCATCATCGAAAATGTCGTTAGCAACAGACTTCAAAGTTCACAACAAATCAAACTACCCTCTCCTTATTTATTTAATTCTATAGATAAAACTATTCAAAATGTCATAGATGGTCACATGAAACAGCAAAGTATAAAACCCTTGGAAAATAGAACCTCTGTAGATGATATTATTGACTATGTCATAAATTTTGGCACTTACGAGACCGATATGTTAAATAGAACTTTCGAAGAAGATACTTTGAAACATAAAGGCAGAGGAAATAGAAAAATTGGATCTATTCGGCGAGTAAAGAAAAACGAAATTAAATTTGATATAAAGAGCATTATAGGTGAACAAACTGATGTAGTAGTACAAGAAGTAGGTATCTTAAACACTGAAGTTCCAAGTTTAGAGCCAACTTTAACCAAAAGTAGCATTGTGGAGGAAAAGGTAAAGAAAGTAGCCAAGAAAATAGGCCAAATTAGAAAAAATCGTAAACGGAAGCTCCACGCTGGAAAGCTATTGGTAGAAACTCACATAGATCAATTATTAGATACCCAAGAAATTTCAAATACTTCTCAATTGCCGATACAGCCTCAGGATACTATTATTAAAGGTGTACACGAAGACGAACCTCATGTTTTAGAAAATAAAGTTGTTACAGGCAATGAAACTTCTTTGGCCAGTTTACTCAAACATTTTGGACCTGTTGGTGACCTGTTTTATAAAACAAAAGAAGAAAAGAAGAATTTATTTCAAAATAACAAACAGAATCTTAGAACCTTCAGAAAACAAAATAAGAGCACAAAGTCGTCACCTGATGCAAAAAATCAGCAAGTCTCGAGTCAAACACTACCTGATGATATTCAAACAAGTAATTCTATAGATACGAATGAAATCCCTATTGGGACAACTGAAGTTTTAGCATCTGACGATAAAATAAACATAGGGAAGAATGTATATAATATGACAAGTAAAATTGCGAAAAAAATAGATATACTTGAGAAAGAATTGAAAGACAATATAATTACAGAGTTATCTAGACCAGAGTTGGCGACCCCAGCGGTCGGCACTCCCACAATCGAAAATAAGGCTGTTCCTTCAGCTACAACAATATCATTCAAAACCAAAAAGAAGAAAGGAATCCGCAAATTAAAATTTACACAAAAGAAAGCTAAGAAACTAAATGCTTCATCACCAATTATAGACGAAGTCCAAGAGGAAAATAAAGACACTGAGATAAAAGAAACAGAAAAAAATATTATTGAAACTTTTAAAGAACCAACAACTTCTCAATTAGTACAAGATGAAGATGATATTGAAGCACAAATTGAAATAACGATAATAGGAAAACCTACTGTTACTAACACTCCAGAAGAAGCTAGTACTGCCATGGAAACAGCTTTAGATCTGGATAGAAAGAAACCTAAGCGAGCCATTAAAAAAACCAAACCAGACCAGATCAAAAACACGACAAATAAAATTTCTATATTGCAGCCCCCAACGCTAATATTAGATAATAATTTGAAAAAAGATGTGGAAGATGTCGTTGACACAGAAACAAAAATATTTAAACAAGGAAGTACAGATCCGTTGAGTGCGAAGACTTTAATAAAACGTTTAAAAGTAAAAAGAACAATTAGAAAACCCAAGAAGTCAACACAGGACAAGAGAGGTGATACAGTTGATCCAAAACAACCTATAACAGCTACAAAAATAGAAGTAGACCCCATAAACTCTGAAAATAAAGGCATTAAAGAAATTTCGTCAGATACGGATATAATCTCAGAAAATAACAAATATAATAATGAAACTATTCAAATTAGTAATAACTTTGATATAACGAAAAATACAATGATGGACACCTCAGTTAGAGAAAATGTAATCGAAAGTGAAATTATTCCTTTTGGAAATTTAGACAAGTTACTACCTACCGATGAAAAAGAACAATTAACTGCAAAAGATGTAATAGTTGTTAAAAGTAGAAGAGGAAGAAAAAAAATAAGACCAGATACTGGTTTGTCTGTTGGTAGCAATTTTGAAAATGTTTTATTAGAAAATGAAAGTGAGAAATCAATTTCTAAGGCAGGCATTCTAAAATCAGAAGAAAAAACTCCAACCAAAAGGTTTAAATCACCAAAGAAAATAAAACCAATCAAGAACATAGAATCTTTAGAGCAAGAACCTAAGGCTATGCCTAGTACAAAAAATAATGAAATTGAAGAAAGTGACGAAAACATATCAGAAAGATTAACAAGATCCAAGTCCCCAAAGAAACCCACACCTGAAAAAATTAACGAAACACTGTGTACTAAGTCACCATTAAATGGAGAATTAAAATTCGCTGATGATAACGCTTTAGATACAAACAAATCTAAACATATAAAACAACCTTTGATATTTAAATTCTCAGAAAGTATGAACTCGTTTGTGAATACAGCAAATGATGCATCTGATAAGAGAGATGAAATAATAGAACCACAATCTTTGACTGAGTCTGAGTCGAAAGAAGATTTTGATTCTAAAGAGAAAACGAACGAATCAAAAGATTTGTTCAACATGACAATTCCAAATGATCTAAACGACGAAAAATCAAACAATAATACAGAGTTAAAAAATTTAACTGCTAAATCTTTAAATGTTGCAGTATCTGATAATGGTGTTAAAATACAAATAAGTACAATTACTAAAGAAGATAGAAACATTCTTTCTGTAGGCCCATTAGAAGAAGTAAAAGCGGAAATAAAAAAAGTAACTAGAAGATCAAGGTCATTAAAGACTTTAAATAATAAAAACGCACACATTGATTCAGATAAAAACAAATCAATTGAGGATTTAACAGAAGGTGTATCTCGAAGGTCAAGATCTTTAAAGAAATCGATGGAATTAACTAATGATTTGAATGCAAAACTTGAATCTGAAAACTTACAAGGCAATGATAATTTAGATAATGGATTATTATCTTCATCTCCATCTGCAACTGATATTAATGCAGAAAATACAACCAAAACACCAGATATAAAATCTTCAGATGTATTTACTGATCAAGGTAATGAACGCAGCGAAGGTATTATTACTGATCCAGTCAATCAACATTCACCATTAAAGAATACTAGCAGAAAATTTGAACTGAAACCGTCACGATTAAAATCAATAACTAGTTTAAAAGAGCCTTTTAATTATGTTAACACGCCTTTTCAAGAAAATCCTTTTTCCGAACTGTCTCCAAAGGAGAAAAGTAAAATGGAATTAGTTACAAATTCTAAATCGCCGTTAAATGAAGATTTAAATTTATCAACCGAAACCGATTCGGAAGAAATTAAACAAATGTTACCTCCACAAGAAAATTTAAATCTTTATCAACCGAAAAAACGAGGACGGAAGCCCAAATGGTTTAAAAAATCTTTGAAAAGACAAGAAAACATTTGTACACTAAACAAAACAGTCATCGAGGACCCACTAACCAATATAAACTCGAACAAAAGCAAATCAGTAATCGGTAACTTATCTCCAAAAAATACAACTTTGGAGAGTCCCCCTTTGAAAAGTGATTCTAATAAAACAGAAATTTCTGAGGAGGTATTGTTTTCAGAAGAAAAAAAGAGCTTTAATACAAAGAAACCAGGCAGAAAGTCTAGAAAATTGTCTTTAAATAATGTAAATAAATCTATTAAAAACTCGGGTCAGAATGAAGAAATTAATCCAAATGTCGAGTCAGAAAATTCAAGTATAATAACTCCAAGTATTTTAACGGTAAATTCTCCTGCAGACGTTTCAATTGATGTAAACAGTGTGGTTTTAGATAGCGTATCAAAATATTCAACAAATTCATTAGAAGACAATTCAAACACTGTTCTCAATAACTATAAGGCAACAGATGGTGTATCCACCGCTAAAACCTTAGATATAGAAGAATCAATTTCATATGATATGCATAAATCATTTTTATTTATTAATATAGAAAAATACACAAAGCTCGGGGCTAAAAAGTTGGAAGAATCTTTAAATAAGTTACCTGCGGATCATTTTAGTACCCCTCAAGATATTGAACAAAATTTAAAATCAAATCGAGGATCTCCAAAGAAAAATAAAAATGGCAAACGCATTTCAAGTATTAATAAGGATGTAGAAAAAACCGATAAAAAGTTGTTGCGATTAGAAAATGAAACTAAAGCTACTGATGCAGCACTTAGCACAGATGATATTGATATCGATGATAGTGGTTTCGAAGACCAACGAACTACACCTCAGTTGTTATCAAAAACAATGAATACAGAAACAACTCTAGAGAAAATTGACACTGACTATATTAAGCCCATTTCCCCAAGGAAACCTGGTCGTCCTAGAAATTCATTTAAGAAATTAGAGTCCGAACTTAGTCAAGATTCATCATCGGAAAGTTTTAAATTTAACGATATTGGCTCAAACGCCGAATTAACAAATATTAGGAGAACTAGATCAGCAACAAACATATCAATCTGTTCTAATGAGTCTTTGTCAAAATTAAATGATTCCTTAGATGCTGAAGTGTGCAATATTCTGTCATATTCAGAAACTAATAGCCCTAATGCGAAATTAACTAAACCTAAAAGGTCATCTTCTTTAAGAAATATCCATGACAGTCCTCTAGTAAACGAAACAAGTGAAACAGAGTCGCTTCAACAAAGTCCCTTTGCAAAAAGTAAGAGGGTAAGTAGTAGATTCAAAAATTCGAGACTTTTTGCATCAGAGGAACTTATGGATAAGCTGGACGTCAAAGAAAATGAAAATTCATTACCTGAATTAGATGTTGATAATCCTGTTCAAGAAAATGATGAAAAATCAATAAAATCAAGATTGTTTACATCTGAAAAAACAGTTAATAGTTTAGGGTTTACAAAGCCTGATAACATAGAAATAAAATTAATGCATGATGATGACCATTCAAAACTTCTAGTTGAAGAAAATACTGAGGTAGACCAGAAGCAAAGACAATCTGGTAGACAAGTAGCTAAAGAAACTTCTGATATGTTTGTAGACCAACCGGAAGAAGCTTATACGAATCCATTTAACTCCGACTGTTTAACACAAGATGAATTAGAAGAAACTATTCAAAGTGAAAGTAAGAGACCTGGTAGAAAATCCAAAGGTTTAAAATTACATTTACAAAACAATCTAGCGTCGAACGATACTTTAGACTCTTTAGATAAAGAAAATCTTACCTTAGATGATAAAACTAAAATATGTTCTTCAAAGTTGGATAGGTTTTTAAATACGCCACAAGATAGTGAGGATATCACATGTAATTCTCTTAAAATAGATCACATGCCAAAAAAACGTGGTAGAAAAGCTAAAAATTCCAAACTGCTGCTTCCAGAGACCGCAATAAATCAGTCTGTTTTGCCAGAAAATAACATAGAACTTACATCTGAAGAAACTAATATGGAATCTTCTGTACAAAAAAAATGTTTAGAACACTCAGAGGCTGTCATGGAACTAGACTTGGTAGATTCTATTGTTCCAGAAAATATTGACACTAAACAAAACACCACACAAAAGAGAAAAGTGGGAAGACCGCCAAAAAAACCAAAAGTAAATATATCTGAAAACCAACTGGATCAGTTAGACACTGAATCTGTTATTCAGAATCAAACTGATTTAAAGCAGACAATTAAAAAGGTGGGTAGACCTAAAAAGTTAAAAAGCGTGGAATCTAAAGTTGAAGCAGACAATATAGATATTACAAGAACTGGTGATTCAAATCTTCAGAAAGTCTCAGATTGTGGGAACGAGCCACTTACTCAAAAAAATCTTGATGCAGATAAAAACGAATCTTCTAAGATTTTAGAGCCTCAGATCTTAGATGCAATTATCAGTGAAACTCCACAATATAACGTAATTTTTAATGATGCAGATCTTACGGTAGAAGAAAGTTCTGGCGGAAATCAAAAGAAAAAACGAGGAAGAAAATCTAAAATACAGAAACTAATTAAATCTTCCGGTTCTGAATCAATCATAGATCAAATAAAAGACGCGGCTGCCCAAGAAGGTCGGAAAAACCTTGATTTAAGTAGGAAAGTGAAACAAACTATGGAAATTGATTCGGGTTCACAGAACGAAAAGAAATATATTACTGCTGATATATGTCCATTCACATATCAAGAAAATGTGAACTCTGAATCAATAGCAACCAAATTACCAGAGTACACTTCCCAGGAAAATATTGAGCTAAACCAAAATAGGACATCTGAAAGGAAATCGAGAAATTTAAAAACTAATTATGTCGAGGGAATAACAGATGAATCTATTACCAATGATTACAGTAACTCTAGTACTAGCATTATTGATAACCTGGAAGAAAAATTACGTGCTACTCGAAATAAAAAAGTTAGTAGAAAATCAAAGAATTCTAAAATTGTAGATAATAATTTGTTAAATCAAGGTACTATTGAAGAAATCAAGAATTTTGACGAAATGTTCAAAGATGTAATTGACTTTAAACATACTAAAGGTTCTAGTATACATACATCACAAGAGATTGTTAAGCATATAGGTATTGAATATGACAGTGTTAAATCTGAATTACCCGTTGACAATAATTCTTCCTCAGTCTCCAGAAGAAAAGGCAATAGGAAATCTAATAACCCAGAAGATAATTTGAGTCAGTTAGAAGAACCTGGAAATCTAACAAATACGAAAGCTCTTAATACAGACATTACAGTGAATGATAATACTAAAATTCAAGAAAACTATTTAGAGCAGATAGATAAAGCAAATCCTGATTTCGTTCAAATAAAACCAATACCGGAACAGGTTACAGAATCCTTCAAGCTTCAAGAAACTATTTCCTTAGAAACTAAGAAAAACAAAAGAGGAAGAAAACCAAAAAATCTAGACTTAAATATCTCTAACGAAAACCTAAGTAACTCAGACCAAGATGTTTTTGAAGTAAATTCAAACTCTTGTGATATAAGTGAATCCGTTATGCAGGATTCGTTTGATTTAGGACAGAAAACTAATAGGGCTGGTACAAAATCTAAAAATATAAAGTTGGCTAACTATGAAGAATTTAGCGAAGAATGTGGTGGTTCGCTTTCAGGAGATACCAATTCTTTAACAACGCTGACGTTATCAATAAATCAGAGTACTTCTGACAAATTGGAAAATTTGAAAGTAATTCCTACAAATAATGAACTAAGTACATACCTAGACTTGGATTCAAGCAAAGATGAACAAGCAAATGACTCTTTAACAAGTTCAAAATCAGATACTTCTACAGAATCTCCCGATGTCAAACTTTTGGAGGAAAAAATTAGAAATGCTATTAGACAGAGTCTGTTAACAATCAATACTTCTGATAGTGGTAAAAATGGAGACATCGATAATGTAGAAACCGTTTCAGTGGCAAGACAAGAAACAAGTGAAACCATACCCACCGAAGTTAGTGTCACTTCTTGTGTAGAGGAAAACAGACCAGAGTTACATGAAAAGACAGACAAATCTAAGAAGACAAAAAGAATCCCCAAAGACATTGAGGTATCAGAAACTAATACAAGTACCTCCGAAAGCAGATCACTCCGAAAAAAATCAACAGTAAATTATACAGAAGTCGAAGATAATAAAGATCTAATTGATGAGTCTGAAGTTGGAGAAGATAATGAAGTTGAAAAAGTCAGTAATGACGATAGATCCCAGATAGAAGTTTCCTTAAATGTCGACAGTTCTACGATTCAGTCAAAGCTTCTTGATGAATCAAGAGAAAGTGATGTTCCTATAAACGATAACAATACTGAAGAAAATGATCTAAACCTAAAAGATGTTTTAAGCGAAACTGGGACACACATCTTAAAAGAAAATTTGTCAAAAAATAATCAATCGTTAAATAAAAAACGTACGAAAGTACGGTCTAAAAAGGTCAAAAGGCTAACAAAAAACAAAATATGTATTACCCCGAATATTGAAGAAGTAATAGATACGAAAGATTCTGAACCGATCGATGCGAATATTTCAGAAGGTATATTTAAAGTTGATGAACAGACTACATTTTTATCCACTGTCTCACCAATTATAGATTCTAGCGATAAACCACCAATAAAGCTTATTATTAATAAACATAAAGCTAGAAGAAAATCCAAGAATATTAAAAAAGTTGGCGTTAAAGGACATAATGATTTATATGAAGATTTTTCTTTAGTTATCAAGAAAAAACGTATAACTTTCTCACCCCCCGATACCTTTTCAAAAGAAGATACCTTTCCAATGGGACTTCATCACACACCAAAAATTTCTATAGGTTTCCCGGAGAAAGATGATTTGAATGATTCTGTACAAGAAATGGATATGGAACTCGATGAAATTCCAATCGAGAGCAACATAATCGAAACTCCGAAATTGGAGTTATCTGTAACTAAAGCAGACGAAAATTCTAAATCTATTGGAAGTGTAGAAATAAATACAATACATGAATCCGCAAGTTTAGATAAAAATAGTAAGAAGGGGAAGAAAAAGGGAAAAAATAAAAAGCTTCGAACTAATTTATTAAAATCCACTTCAGTTATAGAAGAAAATAGTCTGGAGATGAATGAAACACCTGTTTTGAAACTTCCTCTCTTAAAAATAAGTACAAAATTAAATAGCACCAAAACCATTTGTAATGAAAATGACACGTCATTAGATAATTTAGATGATATATTTTCTGAAAAATTAACTGAACTTGAAAATAATACAGAACACACTTTAGATTTTGAAAGTATAACTGTTATAGATGATAAAAACGTTGATGATACCGAAACGTCTTTACAGAATTTTGTTAAACCGATGATAATACGCCGATTTAAAAAATCCAAGAAAAAAGAAGCTAAAAGAAAATCTAAGAATCATATGCTAAATGTAGAAGTGAAACAATGCAAAATAAACACGGAAGATGACAAATTGTTAGACATGTTTGCTTCGAAAAACACGTGTGAAGAAAATACAAATATAAAGGACGATAGTATCAAACAATCGGTAAAAAATGAAATGGACAGTTCATTATCGGAAGGAGACAAACTAATAGAAACACATCATGAAATAAATGAAATAGAACAATCGGTTCAAGAAACAGATAACACACTAACTGATGAAGTTACCAGTGATGTTGTAGATGAATCCGACTCCAGCTTTATTCTACCAGATGTAAAGGTATCAAAAAGAGGTAGAAAGAAAAGAGGTCGTAAAAAATCGCGCTCCGAAGTATCAATTGAAAAACATTTGGATATCGCTGATAATGGTGCGAAGGAGCCATTAAACTCTGACATACTAGATAATAAAATTTTCAAAGAAAAAGAATTACCAGAATCATCTGAAATAATTCCTGTATCGCCCAAAGATCTGGAATTGGACTTTCGCAATGGTGATGATGTTAGAAAAGAAGATATCGACAAAATTTACGCTTTCTCTGAAACCGAAGATTTCGACTTAGAGAAGCCGATAGAATTGCCACCGAGATTACAGAAAAAACTGGAAATTACTGAAAAAGTCGAACCAAAACCAGTTGAAATTGAAATTAAACCTAAAAAGACTACCGGTAAAAGAAAATCAAAAATTGTTAACGAACAAATAGAAGAGGAAGATTTAACTCAGGAAAAAAGTCCTCTTAGTTTTAGTGGAGTTTTTGGAGAAAGGACCATTGCTGAAAGCCCTTCTCAATCCAATAAAGACACGTCAAATTCTGAGACTAACGTGATAAATGAAGACCTTATAGACAATGATGTCACTGGAAGCAGGAAAAGTATGAGGAGTGCTAAAGCCAAAGCTCTAGAACACATCCATGATTCACTTAATGAATTAGAAACTATTGATAAAAATGTGTCGGTAGAAACCCCAAATGTAGAATCTGTAAGTAAAAAAATGAAAAGTAAAAAGAAAAATCAGAAAGCAGTACAAGATGTTGATGCTCCTATTGAAGTTACCGATAGTGAAACTCCTATTTTAGAAGATTTAGTTCACGATTCACGTAATGAATTGGAAGCTACGGATGAAACAGTATCTAAAGATACTATTACAAGTGTAGAATCTGTAAACAAAAAGACAAAAAGTAACAAGAAGAACCTAAAGTCTGTACCAGAATTTAACTTTGCTGAGGAAGTTCTCACCACTGAAACTCCTCTTCTGGAAGATTTAGTTGCTGAGTTAGATGGATTCGAAGAATTGGATAACAGTATTGAAAGGGAACTGCGAGCAGAAATGATTCCTGAAAATGAAGAAAATTACATTCATCCAGGAAAATCTAAAGAAGAACATAAACAAAAAGAGGTAAACACGGAAGATACTTCCGAAAACACGTTAATATCTGAAGAAAATCAAGAATTAAGAAGAAGTAGAAGAGGTTCTCGAAAGATCGCATCATACAACGAAAATGATCTTATAGATCCTCTCATAGATGCAATTGAGAACAAAAGAAAGTGTATAAAGAAGGGGGAGAGGGACGGTATGGATGCCAAACATAAAAAAGGAAAAGAACCAGAAAGAAAATTAAATAGTGAAGAATTATTTGACTTACTTAAAGCTTCCACTAACGACAATCTTTTTGTGCCAAAGCCACCAAATTCATTCTTAGCAAATTTAGAAGACTCCTCTAGGGACATGACAGATGATGCTTTTGATAATATGTTCGAAAATATGTTAGAAAAAACTGCATTTCTAACTCAAGAAAAATTAATGCCAAGACGTAAAGAAGACATTGATAAAATCTACGAATTTACTGAAAGCCCAGAAAATGTTACCTCGAATATGGAAGATGATTCCCTAACGAAAGGGTTAAGAAAATCTAGAAACGTACCTGAAGACATCGAGCCAATTTTAACACCCCAAGATTCTAATTCAGAAAGTAGATCAAAGAGTGATAAATTTGAATCAAACTATTGTGAAATATGTAATAAATCTTTTGTTAAATTGGAAAATTTAATAAAGCACAGGAGAACTTTGACTCATATCCAAAAATTATCAGAAATCGAAGCAAAAGAAGCTGAAAAATCCAAAATTATTAGCAGACATGAGGATGAGAATAGTCGAGAATCGGTTATAGAACCTCCTTCGTTGATAGAATCTATATCTCTAACCAAAACATCTTCTTTACTAGATCATTCAAAAGACCATGAACTAACAGAAGCTCGTAGTGACGAATTAATGGAAACCAAACAAGATATGCAGATTTCGTATAGTCCAAACAACTCCTTAAAGTTAGCAGATATAATTAGTGATGTTATAAATGAACCTGATTTAACGCAAATTGAAGATGACTCTAACAAAATCACCGAACTTGTTCAAAATAATGACATAAAAAGGTGTAAGAGTTTGGGCGAACGCAAGAGTTTTGATTCTGATATCAGGTTGACATCCGAAGCCCACTTGACAGAATCCATTGAATCTAAAACTACAATTTTGGAAAAGCAAATAAGTTTGTTAGAAAATATTATTGAAAATCAAACAACTAACAATTACATTGATGATATTTCTATGTCATCTGAAAAGTCTGATATTCCATCCATACCTAGTACACCCAGCATTACCAAACCATCTTCAGATAACGCAAGTTTTATTAAACCAAGTCAGTACGAAGAAATATCCGATGATAGCGCTAATATTAGAAACTACGATGATCCTAAATTAAGAAAAACTCTAAACAGAGACGAAGAATTGTTTTTGGAATGTTGTAGTTTGCTTAAAAGTAGTTCAGAGGTATCTAGCAGTTATTCAAATAAAAAAATGCAGGAAAAAGTTGTAAGTGCTTTAGGACTACGACCAATTGATGAGCCACAATGGTCCGATAAAAAGAATCTTAGCAATAATGATTTAGATGTCATCGATGACTACTCAGACAATTCGAGAATTCCTACACCTTTGGGCAACAGCTATGATGATGATGCCTCTGATTCAAACACGATTTCTTCTAATTGGGGTATAAATAAGACTGTGGATGAAAGTGGAGATAACGCTGGTAAAACACGATTTACTTTTGAGAATATTTCTGTGGTGCAAAGAGATGATGCGAGTGAGCTGAAGTTTGACGGACTTCTACAACAAGATCGGTGAGTGAAATTTGATTAATTTTTTATTTTATAGTAATTTCTTAATTGTATGCTAAACTAGTATGCAAAATAACTTTAGACTACAGCGCTAAAAGAAACTCTTTTTGGATAATTTTTGTTCTGCTTTATGGATAAGTATATCAATGGGAAGATTGCTCCCAACGAAAGCTAAAACGCTTCAAAGGCTGTAAATTTTTTTATTTTACTTGGTAAGTTTCTTCTAGGATACATTTTTGCATAACGCGTAAAAGCTGCACTAGAGTTTCCTAAATATTCCCCTAAGGTTAATAACATGTCGGTGTATTCAACATTTGAGTACATTTTGATTAACAATATCTAATTTTACAAATATCAATCTTTCAAAACTCTAATTATTGTTGACTTATTGTCATAACTTTATAATAATCATTACTTAATACCAGCATTGGCTATTACTTCATAATTTTCAAATCAAACTATTCGGAAAACGGTACATAGTATCGAGTTTTACCAAGAGTACCTTTTTGGTGTAAAATTATATGATGTTTAAGTTCACTTACACAAAACACAAAAGACCCAGAGGCAGACCTCCTATGAGATGGACAGATGATCTGAAAAGGACTGCCGGGAAAAATTGGCTACAAGTAGCGTACAATAAAAAACAATGGAAAGGAAGACTTGAAGAGGCTTATGTTCAGATGTGGACGTGAATGGCTAGACGAAGAAGAAGAAGAAGAAGAAGTTCACTTGGAATTTTGATTAATAATTCTACCCTTAAAAACTTGTAACTAGCGCCCTCTATCAGAGTCAGATATAAAATCAATTTCATGGGATGTATCAGCTTCCAAAACATATTCGTACAAAATTTCATTACAATGTTGCCAGTAGTTTCGACAAAATGGTAAAAAATTTGAACATTTTCTTTTCTTCAACGCCTTTCATCTTTAAAACGGATGGCCTTACAACAAATTTTTACTAAGCAAACCCCAATTATTCAGTTTTTTTACCTATCCTAAAGATGGTGTTACTTTTTTTTGAAACACTCGTTGCAGGATATTTCATTCGCATTTTTTCTTTCTAATTTATAAGAGCTCGTTCGATCCTACCTTCTTTGGACAGGATAAGACTGTAAATGTAAAGGGTGTTTTTTTAGAGGTATAGAAATGTAAGCGTGTAACACTATTTTAACTGTCGGCCGTTTTGACAGCTGTCAAAGCTGTTTTGACAGTGATTTATGATAAGTTTGGTTTGTCATTTCAGCATGAATAAACTTGACGCTTGTACAACGCTTCCAAAATGTAGAAATTTATTTTGAAAATTGTGGTTCTATTCGAAATGCGTATCAGGCACTACGTCCATTTTATGGTCAACATAAAAGTCCATCAGAGCAAGTACGTCGCTTAACCATGGAACGTTTTTGAACCTTGTTTACTGTTAAATGATAATATGCATACACAGATACGTCGTACAGTGCGTACAGAAGAAGTTGTTGCTGCTGTAGAGCGTAGCATACAGGAAGACCCGAATTAGTCTATCTGCCATCATGCACAGCAGTTGGATACGTGTCCATCCACTTTATGGAAGATTTTGCATAAAAATCTTACTTTGCGTACTTACAAAATCAAACTCATGCAGAATTGCAGGTACATCATCACCTAGCAAGGCTTAGATTCGGTTTTTTTGTTTGGCGATGAAGCTCACTTTTGGTTGAATCGCTACGCCAACAAACAAAACCGCTCTATTTTGAGTTAAAATAATCCTCAAATGTATGCTGGGAAACCATTACATCCAGACAAACTGACTGCTTGGTGTGCTTTATGGTGTGGTGGAATCATTGGACCGTACTTCTTCAAAAACGATGTTTTCCAGAACGTTACAGTCAATGGTGGCCACTATAAAGCCATGGTTACTGCCTTTTTCATTCTCCAATTGAACAACCATGATGTACAGGAGCTGTCGTTTCAATAAGACGGCGCAATAACTCACACAGCTCGTGCTACAATTAATTTATTGAAAGAAACGTTTGGTAACCGCATAGTTTGACGTTTCGGATCGTAAATTGGTCTAAGATCGGGCGATTTAACACTGATAGACTATTTTATGTGGGGTTATGTTAAGGTTATGTTAAATGATGGACCAAGAATATTACAGCAAAACACAGATAAAGGATGGCAAAGCGGCAGGCCCTGATAATATACAAGCAGAACTACTCAAACTAATGGACAACAAATCAATAGCAATAATCGCAAAGATATTCAACAACATATACAACTCTAGAAAAATACCAACAGAATGGCTGAAATCTGAGTTTATTGCACTTCCAAAAAAAACCAGGAGCCAAAAAAATGCGAAGATTACCGTACTATAAGCCTCATGAGTCATCTCCTAAAATTGTTCCTAAAGATAATTCATAAGAGAATCTACAAGCTCTGTGAAAGTCAAATTTCCCCCAACCAGTTCGGGTTCACAAATGCTGTTGGTACTAGAGAGGCTTTGTTCTCAGTATAAGTCTTATTCCAGAGATGCAGAGACGTCAACTGCGACGTATACGCATGTCTGGTTGATTACGAGAAAGCGTTTGATCGAGTACAGCACGCCAAGATGATGCGAATACTAAAAGAAGTAGGAATTAACAACCAAGATCTGAAAATAATTAGAAATCTTTACTGGAATCAGACAGCAAATCTCAGAGTTGAAGGTGAACACACTCACTATGTGAAAATCATGCGTGAAGTGAGGCAAGGCTTTATTTTGTCTCCTCTAATCTTCAATCTGTACTCTGAAAGAATATTTATTGAAGCTTTGCACGAAACTGAAAAAGGTATTTTACTAAATGGTTACCGGCTTAACAACATCAGATATGCAGATGACACCATAGTATTTGCGGACAACTGAGAAGACCTATAAGTTCTTATGAACAAAATCACGTATTGCAGCCAACAATATAGACTCAATATAAACGTTAAGAAGATAACGCTTATGATAATTAGCAAGAAAAGGATAACAGCAGGTCAACTCTACGTCAACCAATCTCTTGTAGAAAGAGTGACGCACTACAACTACATCGGCACCATAATAAATGAAGAATGGACCAACAACCAGGAGATTAGAGAACCCATCGCAAAAGCTAGATCCACCTTCAATCGGATGGGGGCCTTCTTCAAGAGTCACAACCTCTCTCTTGATACAAAAGTAAGAATGCTGCGATGCTACGTTTTCTCTGTCCTTTTTATGGTGTTGAATCGTGGACCTTAAACGAAGATATGTGCAAAAACTTGAAGCATTTGAGATATTGCTGTATTGGAGAATACTTAAGATCCTGTAGACTGGCCGAGTCACAAATGCGGAGGTCCTCAGAAGAATGAATAAGAACCGAGAGGTACTGACCACCATTAAATCTCGAAAGTTACAATTCTTCGGACATATTATGCAAAATGAATCCAGATATGCAATCCTTCAAACCATCCTGCAAGGAAAAATAGGTTAAAGAACCTCAGAATCTGGTTCAATACAACAGATAAAGATTGCCATGATGATCGCCAACATTCCTAACTGATAGGCACATTAAGAAGAAGAATGTTAAGGTACTAGTGTTCGCAGATAAGCTTGAAATGATTGACCACTTGGAATATTGGAAAAAGTGATCGAAAATTTTACCTCCATATTGAACTACGTTAAAGCATGCCATGACGGTCATATGCCAGAAATCATATTTAAATTATAATGCCAAAAGATTATCTTTTTAATATCATGTCAATTTAAAAAAATCATCTTTGTTTTATTCCATTTTAAAAGTTATATACCTCTAAATTGTTACCATTGTTAAAGTTATATACCTACCCCTTATATTGTTTTCGCGGTTTATAAGCTAAGGTCTGAAATTGTTTGTTCCTGACATTTCTTTTACGATTGTGGAACACATTATCAAAGGAGATGCGTTTAAGGTCTTAAGTCACGGGAACGATAGGAGGTTACGTGTGTTCCCATATCACTTTTGTAGGAACAAACAATTTCAAATACAGCTTGTAAACCCCTAGAACAGGCTTTGTGGTGCTTGAGAGCACCAAATTTTTTTACATAGAGGATATATCAATCTTTGTTCCATTCAGTTAATTTCAGAAAAATGTTTTTCCGAAAGGTGTTTTTAAACATATTTTCTTTACCTGCTTTAATAACTCCAGAACATCTTAATTTGGATGTTTTTATTTATTTATTTTTTTGAAATTTCAGATCTTGCAAAGCTTTCACTTAATAGCTTTGGTACATTTTCTTCATATTTGTTGCATTTCGTCATTAACATTAGTTACACTGCATCCCTTAGATCGCAATAGAGACAAAAACAACTTTCGAACAGTTCCTAGTTTTTTGCTTTTTTTTTCTTCCAGTATACAGGCCAATAATGTCATTTTATCTTATTTCCCATATTGTCTCAAAGCATCCTAAAGATATTTGTTTGTGACCTCGTAGTTTTTAAATATGTTTTTTAAAATAATTACAAAAGTAAAAAGTCATAAATAATTCTTTATTATTAGTTCCAATAGTTGCAAATTATCTATGGTATGAATTTTTTATAATTATAGCAAATACAAATTAATTTTAAAAACTCCCTAATACAGACCTGTAGTTAATTGTTCTAATTAGTGTAGACAGCTTTTTATTTGTTGTCTAAGTCTTTTACATTATATTCAATAATAATTATTAGTGAGAATAACTTTTGTGGTTTTAAATTGACTGGTAAGTTAACAGTCAATAGGTTAAAATTCAGATATATTTTTTGTCACATGAATTCCTGAGCATAATAAACTTTTCAATATGATGTAAAAAGTATGCGTTATCCTTCCCTTTTATATATTATTATTTGTCACATGACATTTTATATTGTTTTCAAATTCACTATTTAATTTTCTGTTTCTACTATTTAAAAAATGTTGAATATACTAGTCCTGCCTCATTGTTGTTTTCGACGCATATCAGTTTTTATAATATAAAATAACAATAAGACAATTGAAAATGTATTGCATATCACACTTTCTACGTTCCGGAAGACCTATTCTGCTAGATGCTTTGATAAAAAATCTATGCTTTTTTATCGTCCAATATTATCTTCATTTTTGGACATGTATCTTTGGAAGGAACATACAGTTTGTGTTGTTTTCACTATTCTATATTATTTTGTAAGATTACTGATACTGGCATATTTTCTAATGGTATGATTGAATAACCTGAGCGTACTGCTATACATCCAAAATTTTATGTGTATCAAGCCTTGTGATTTTTCAATACGTATGGCTCTAGTTTCATTAGGAGTAGGTAATACTCAATTTTTGTCCTCGTTGCTAATATAACAATGTTATTAGTTTCTTTTGAGGTAATACTACTTATCTTTATTGTTAATATTAATGTTCCATTTTTGGTTTTTTAGTCTGTTTTGTACTTCCGTAAAAAATTATTCTGACTTTGTATAAATTCCTTATTTCATTTTCAATATCAATTTACAATTCAACAACAATTTACTAGAACGCTTTCTTTTCATATTTGTAATTCATTTTCCTAAAAGAAAATATATAGTACACCATTTCAACCTACCATGCAGTACTAGATAAAGGTTTTGTGTTTTCAACGCATTTTTTTGGTTTTTGATAACGTCAAATCAAACATCAAAAATTGATATGTCTGGTCGTATCTGCACATCATATTTGTATTTTTTTTTTTATTTTATTGCCAATATATGCAGAATTTAATGCCATTATATGGTTATTTTATGTCCATGATGGGTTTTATATTGTAACCTAGAAATATCGACTTCAAGTTATCCTTTATCTCCTTTAGATCTTTTTTCCTCCTATTTTTTAAGATTTTTGTAATATCATAACATCTACCTTATTTCATTTTCATTTACTTTCTTTTTATTGTGCAGCATCATCTATGTTATTATTGAGTGAAAGTATTCATTGAGTGAAAAGCTTAGTCTTTAGATAATCGTAATGTTTTTTATTCTTGAATGTAGAACCTTAAGTTATAACAATTTGCTTATGTGTAATTCATTAGTTTTACTGTATTTTTTTAAGGGTCCATGTTTTTTCCTTGATTAAATTTGGACCTTTTTCCCTTATTTATAAACCCTGTTTTAATCCACATGATTTGGACTGTCCCATGGATTTGAAGTATATTTATGTACAACAGATTTTGTTTCTAGGAAACTTATTTTAATGTTCAAAACTTTCCAAATTATTTTATCGAGTACACATGTTTTTTTATCTGGTCCTATTTGTTCCAATCGCCATTTCTCTTTCCTTTTCTACACCTACTGTATATCTTTTTTTCGTCTTGTTATCAATCTGGATTTTATTGCATTGATAGTATACCCGCAACAGTAATGACTTTCATAGAGAGGGGTAAATTATAAAAATTGATAAAAGTTATCTAACTCTGGCATTCCTCATACACCGAGAGCTAAATCTTAATAGCTCATTTATTTATAGTTGTTCATTCATCTAGTGCTTCATTCTTTATAAGACAGTTGTTAATGTAGGATCATCTCCTTTCTTATGCATTATAATGTTATCAATGTTAAGTGATCTGCTCCCCTTCATCGTTGTTTCTCGTTCTCCCATTCAGCTCCAATCTCGCTCTACATTTCTTTCACATGAACAATTTCTTTATTATAGAATTTAGTTGATTCAACATCTTTTTATGTCAGCCAAATTGTATGTGGAAGTTATTTGGTAGACAGTTAAGAATTATATCGATTTTTTTTAGAGTATAAGAAATAGAATCTATTATTATTTTATTTTTTTATTTGCATTACATCAAAATATTTTATGGTTATTTTATAATATTCTAAAATTGTCAAACCTGCAATGAGTTATAAATATTTTATTTTTTAGAGTTGAAGTGGACGAAAACCAAGATACCATTCGCCAGAAAAACAGCTCTGACGATTTCAGCGATGGATCCATCAGTGATCACAAAAAAATTATTACAAAAGGCGCAAGAAAAGTATTTGAAGGACTTAAGGTTTCAATACCTACTGAAGAATTAAATTTGGAAGAAGTTCTTAATTATAGTCCTAAGCAGAAAAAACCTGACACTACCGCTGACAATACCGAAGAAGAAAAACTTCTAATTTCACCAACACAAAAATCCAGGAATTCTAGGAAATCGAAGCCTGTCAAAAAGGCACAAGTTGGTAGCAATTTGTTGTTTAAAGTGAATAAGAAGAAACTTCCTTCGCCGTCCATCTCCAGTAAAGATCTCCAAAAGGATGTATATGACTTTGAAGAAACCCAAGATAATACAGATGTGTTTACTAAACCAGACTTTAGAGCCTTCAGGAATATGAAAACGGGAGAAAATGAAAGCGAAACGGAGAGCAGGGAATACGTTGAGATACCTGGACCAGAACTTGAAGCTACTATATCTAATCCCGTAGCATCTACAACCAAGCAAGCAAAAGAAAATATAACGAAGAAGAAATGCATGATAATGGGAAGGATATTTAAGAATGCCGCAAAATCAAAAATTGAAGACATTGACGAAGAAATAAGAAATATCCCAGAAATTGATAATGAAGAGTTAGTAGAGAATTATGTTGCCAACTGTAGTAAAATAGCCACGGAATCCGAAAAAAATGAAGTTATTGAAGAATATATAGAAGAACCTTCCGGTTCTGAAAAGGATTCAAAAGTATCCTCGAGACCAAAAACTGAAGTAAAAAAACAAGATAGTAGTAAAAAGAAACTTAAAACCAAAGCCAAGAAACGTCCACGGACAAACTCAGATTCAACTGACGACGAATTTGGTTTAAATAAAGCAACTAAAAGAAGGTCAAATAAAAAGAATGTTAAAGAAGAGGATAATGTTATAAATCTTGAACAAGAATTAAAGGAATGTATTGGAGTAGCGAGTCGAAAGAGTCAAAGAAAATGCACTTCTGGAAAACAAAATGTATTGGTAGAATATTGGAGTTCTGATGACTCCCAATTCGAAGCTTTATTAGAAAAGCAGATCATAGAAATTAAACCTAAAGAAAAACCGATAGAAAAAACCATCGATGAAACACTGGAGCAACCCAAAGAAGTTCCTGCAAAAGAACCACGACCATTAGATGCTGTGAAAAAGCCACTAGAAGCTAAAAAAGTGGTAAGATATTTTTTACAATTTAATTAAGGATATAACAGTTTTAGTAGAATATTACTTTAATTTTAATTGTGTTTACCAATAAAAATATTTTTATTTTATATTAATATTACATGTACTAGCGTGTAATTGTCAACACAAATGTTTGTTTTTACATTATTTCAATGTAAATCATCAAAAGATTCGAGAGACTCTGACATATCAAAACTTCTGCCGCTAGTGCTGCGGACATGGCTCATGTTCTAGTAGGTTCTTATTTTGGTTTGGTTGTCTTATGCTTTATGTAAATGTCTTTACTTTTTATCGTGCCGTCCTCTTTCGAATATGAGCAAATCTATTACTTTTAGCTGTTCTATAGCTTTTTTTTGAATAATTAGCTAAATAAAACTAAATTACGCATATAATATCTTCATTATCATCAATCAACCCTGATTTGTCCATAGTTGAATATAAACCTCCTCTAGATATTTTCATCTATTTCTGTTTCCTCTCCAGCTGGGGGCCTTCAATTGACTGCTCGTGGTCTCCACTCGCGCAATTTTTTTTCTACCTGCCGTCTTTCATTCTTGCAACATGTTCCGCGCATCTCAATTTTTACCTTGTAATATGTTCGATAATACTGGGTTCGCCTACAAACTTTGTCGTTTCTTAGTCTATTCTAAATATTGATTTTTTCATTTTAAGTAACAACGTAAACCCATTTATACCTCCATTTTAAGTAACACACCATTTTTCGGATGATGTTTTTGAGAGTTAAGGTTAAGGGAGGCATTATTCAATGTTCAAGTTCTAGTATAATGAAGCCGGAGCGTAAATGAAGATTTTTTCGGTACTTTCTAAATTTTGAGAAGGTGTTTCACAAAGTTACACAAACAGAGTGATATAACTACTGAAGGCTGCAAATATTGATAGAAAATACTTAACTAACTTAACATGTAGTGACAATGACCGTAATATTTATCAGATCAAGTAGTTACAACATAGACGGATATGGGCTGTAATTAAACATCAAGAAAACTAAATATATGTTATTATCTAAAGAGCAAATTATCAATAGAAGTGTATAAATTAACGGCCAAACAGTTTAAAGAATTAGCAATATAAACTACCTACCACAAGCAAACACAGCTTTCCTTCTCGTATGGAAATTCTTTGTGTTTATGATATCAATCTGGAACTGTTCAGAGCTATGAGTTTTCCTCGCTCCTTCCAAACTTAATAAAGTTTGTATGTTGTCTTTTGCGGCCGGTGTTTCGTAGGCGTATTGTTATTTGACTTTATCGGCCCTGTTCATCAGGTTTCATTTGAAATTGCAGAGACGTTATCAAAATAGCTAACCTACCTAACAAACGAGAATGTAAGTAGGATGCACTCCTATAGAGCTTCCTCATAAAAAATACAAAAATAATTCTATAAAGGTAAGATGGCGAATGGACATTCACTCCGACGCCAATAATCCCAGTCCCAATAAAAATAACTTTTTGCGCAATATATTTTCTACTTTATATTTTGTGTTTTTATAACTTGATCACTCTTTATTTGGTAAATTACATTAGTTACTGTTTATTATGTTTAGAAAAAGAAACAAACAAAAAAGAAAGCCAGGTCCCAACAGATAACAGTTGACGGCGTACCTGTAAACCGACGAAAACGTGCAGCTGTAAATCCTCTGTACCATTGGTCCAGTTCTTCTGAGGACGAGGCCGACGATCTCATTGAAGTCAGACCTTTACGTGATGAAATCGAAGATGACGAAGATAGACCTGTTCAGCATGGTTGGATAGTAGGGGACTCTCCTAAAAAACTGGTAACCATGTTGGCTCAGGCGAAAGGTAAAAAGGCCGATATAGACTGTGTAAAAGAACAGGGGAAAAAGCGGACTAACACAGTTAGTTGACGGTAGAATGTGATTTTGAAAATGTGCAAAGGACACGGAATTTGGACATTAGTGCACTAGTAGGCTGTGTGTCAAAGATTTTTGTGAATCAGTCAGTGTCACTAAATTCTGTCAAAATCTTAAATAGAAATAGCTTATTTTATAGTATTGATCTATAAATATGAAGATGTAATTTTTTATTCGTTGTAGTGAGAATTTTATATAATACGAGTATCATGCAAAACAATTAATTTTGAAACAAATGTAAATAGTTATATTTATTGGTTCACAACCACACCTTTAGTAAAAGATTTTGGTAGAATTTTTTATTGTTTTTCTTTCGACTGATAATTTTTTTGATTTTTTTACGTTCGAAACTTATACTTCTCGACAAGCAACTATTGTAAAAGATTACAAAAAAGAGATAATTAAGTTCATGATTATTGGCTAATATTCATCAGTATATCAGTCAGTATGTAATTGACAATGAATGAAAGTAATTTATAGTTCTCAAAGTGACATTATTTGGTACTGAACTTAAAGCGCAAATTTTGTTGAAGCAGGAGTAGTCTTTTTCCTATTCTGCGTAGCCCACTCTTTCTTTTCTGAATAGATTTAATTTTTTTCTTAGTAATACTATATCGTGTCAAAGGGTATATAAAATTCTTGTGACTCTGCAATTTTTTGTTTTAGATCGGTAAGGTAGTTGTCTTTATATATATATATATATATATATATATATATATATATATATATATATATATATATATATATATATATATATAACAAGCGAGTCTTCTACAGCTGGCGCCGCTTCTCGCATCCTAATTTCCAGCGTTTTCTGTCGAAGCAATCTTCAGTTGTTAGATCTCTGGCGGTCATTGCATCGTCGACATCGTCTCTCCAGGATCGTCTTGGTCTACCTCGTTTTCTTCTAGTTGGCGGAGTCCATTGTTCTATTTTTTTTTTGGCCATCTATTTTCCGGCATTCTCTGAAGGTGTCCATACCAGTTAAGTCTTTTGGCTTCGATTGTGTCTATTATATCTACATCGATTTCCATTTCTCTCCGAACATCTTCGTTTCTCACCCTATCAAGTCTAGTGAGCTGGCAACATCGTCTCCAGTAGTTCATTTCCATGGCCTTAATTTTTGATTTGTTTCTTTGGTTTATTTCCCAGAGTTCGGCGCCATACAGTCCAATACTTTCTATTATTGTTTTATAAATTCTTCTTTTATTTTCTTTTATTATTTTTTTATTCCATAATAGTCCGTGTAGCTGTCTGGTGGCTGATCTTGCTTGGCCAATCCTGGAATGTATTTCTTCGCTACTTCCTGCTTTTGATGTTATTTGGACTCCCAAGTATTTAAAATTGTCTGTTGGTTTTATAGTTCCCATTTCTATTTGTAGGCTTTCTGGTTGTTCTCCTACAACTAAGTACTCAGTTTTTTGTATATTAATTGTGAGGCCCCATTTGGTGTACTCATTTTCCAGTTTTCTAAGCATGTAGCTTATATCACTCTCGTCTTCAGCTAGAATGGCTTGGTCATCAGCGAAATGTATCGTGTACAATCTATCATCTCCGATTGGGATGCCCATATTGCAGCACTTTCTTCTCCACAGTGAGAGTGCCTCATTTAGATATATTTTGAAGAGTGTAGGTGCTATGCAGCAGCCTTGCTTTAGGCCCTTATTAATAGGAATTTCTCTAGTTAATCCATTTCCAGTTTTAATGTTTGCCGTCATATTTTTGTAGAGCTGTTGTACTGCTTGTATATTTTTTTTGCTTATTCCTTGTTTTTCCATTGCTACCCAAAGCATTGAAAGTGGTACACTATCGTATGCCTTTGTCAGATCTATAAAGACTATATGAGTTGAAAGGTTGTGGGCTAATCTTTTTTCGATAACTTGCTTTAGAGAGAATATACTGTCCATGCAGGATCTGCCTGCCCGAAAGCCATTCTGTTCTTCTACATCTGTCATCTCTTTTTCAATTTTATTTTTTATTATTTTTCCATACAGTCTTGAGAGTGAATTTATGACACTTAGCCCCCTATACAATTCTTTCTATCTCCTTTTTTGTATATGTTGTTAATATGTGCTTTTGTCCACTCCGGTGGTAAGTCGTGTCCATTATAGAATAAGGTGAAGACATACGCCAGTAATTCCCGTAATACTTGTGGGCTATGTTTTAATAATTCATTTGGTATACCTTGTGGTCCGCATGACTTCCCATTTTTTAGAGTTCGTATTGCATTCTCGACTTCCTGTACTGTTATTTCATCGTCTTCACTGAATTCCAGTTCATATGTTGTTGTACTGATGTTCGTGAATTGAGGTCTTGTTTCAGTTAAAAGTTGTGAGTAGTGTTCGATCCAAGATTTTTCTTCTATTAAATCTATTCTACTCGTTTCTTTTCTGTTTGTTCTCAGATTTTTTACCGTTTTCCATGCTTCTCTTGATCTTGTTGACCCTATATATTTGTTGAGTTCTTCGCATTTACTTTCCCAGGAAATATTTTTTGCTTTAGTTACTAAGTTTTTTACTTCTCTGTTTAATCTTGCATATGTTCGTCTATCATCTGGATCATTTGTTTGCAGCCACTTTTGATATGCTTGTTTCTTGTTGTGTACTGCATTGGCGATGTCATTTGTCCACCACAATGGAGTACTCTTTTTGTTCTTTTGGATTGTGCCGAGCGCTTCGTAAGCTGCTTCATTGATTTTATTGATTATCTCTTTATAGGTATTCTGGGCTGAGGAGTAGATCAGGTTTGCCAATTTTAGGCTAAGTCGCAGCTTATATAAGAATGATGTCGAGTCGTTTTGCAGTGCATCAATATTGTATTTAGGTAGATTCGATTCCAGGGGTTTTGATCGAGCTAGTTGGTTGTCATTTTGATGTAGTAGCCGAGGTCGATACTGTAGGTAACATTTTGATCTTACCATATAGTGGTCAGTTCCGCACTCCGGTCCTCTTAGTACTCTTAGTACTCTTAGTTGTCTTTATTATTTGGTATATTCACGGAAAATTTGTACTTTCGAATTGGTTGTAGATATTCCAATATGTGATTTTCCAAGATCCTTGTTTTTCTTCTCTATTTGCCACTTGAGAATTGTCTGCAGGCAATTAGCATGCAAGTATGCATAATCTTCTGACATTGGAAAATATTTCTGTTTTTCGTCCAATCTCAATATTTTTCAGGTAACAAATTTGTTTTCTATCTACACCTCTGTAAGTTTCTATTCTTACTTTGTCATGTGTTCCATTTCTTCCTTATTGTAGTAGAATGCAAATATAGCATGTAAATCCTATAACTGATTTTGCCTAACGCTTCATAAGTGTAAGGGGAGATACTGGTTTATCCATGTTATTCAGAAATATGTTGATGCGAGGATATTTGATGTGGTGTCAAAACCAAACTTACATTGGTTATAAGTGACCAAACCATGATATATAACCAATATTCGTTTGTCCCAAACGAAACTACGTTTAAATTGTGTAACGTTTTTAATTCACATGATCGTTGCTAGTTTAGATATAAGTTTCGTCACACAGACTAGAACTTTATTGTAAATTAATTGTGCTAGGACTCCAGAGATGTACAGTTTCCTTAAATAGCTGTAAGACTTAAATCCTTTCTGATTAATCCTAAGGGGCAGCTTAACAATGTGTACCTCTATATGTCCTATGTTAATTAATGTGGTATGAAATGGCACTAAAATATTTAGGTACGATTTTTTTTACTAATCGGTGGAGTTTTCAGTTCGAATTTTTAGAATGAGTCATCCATTTCTCGGAATTAACGTTGAATTTTACGATGCAAGAAACTTTTAGAATATTTTATTAGGTATATACAGTAGAACCACTACTCAGTATTTTATATTGAAATAGTAATCACTAACTGGATAATTCCCTGGTATTGTAAGGTATGTGTAAGTACTATGTTACGTTAAAATATCAATAACTTCTTCATATTCTTTCATAACTCCATATGATCAATTTTTTTTTCTTAAAAATAGACAATCTTTCTGATTTTTAGCAACGGATCTTCTAAAATGATACATCTTCTTTGTCCGAGACAGCGTCAATGCTTAAATTTTTGAATTCTATTTTTCTATTTAAATATTTGATTTGACATTTTTTTTATAGCTTTATTTTATATTTTTGTTGCTGCATGTATAATTTTCTTAATACTTTACATATTACAAGTATTGTACGAATTGATGTAAGCACAATTGATAACTTATTTTATAGGCAATATGTTTTCACGTGAGTTTTTATTAATTCTTGAACACATTTTAGCATATAATCAACAAGTTTTTTATACTTGCTAGTCTCAAAACCATATGTGGATTACAGCCTCAATCGTTTTGTTTTGTAGTGCAATATATTTTAACTGTTACTAATAGTCCACATATTTTCAATCGGATTAAGAGCGTGTGAGTTTCCTGACCATTCAAGGCATGATAGGAGATTCTCCTTGAAATATTTCATCATAACTTCGGACACAATTCCTCGGTGGCTTATTAGTAAGATTGTTAACTTCTGAATCTCAGATATTGTGAGTTCGAAACCGACAGGAATAGGAATTTAAAAAAGAAATAGCATCTTTGTTGGATCGATATTAAACCGAAGTACGTCTAGAGTGTCAGAAACATTAGTTCGTATATAGTAAGAGATTATTTTTAAATACAATAAAGCCGACCTTACTAAGTAATAAGGCATTTACTCAGTACCCACACTACAAAAAGCCACTACAAAGCCATAAAAAGACTTCGGAAATGTGGCAAGGAGCCGAACCTTGTTAAAAATCTGCTAGGCCTTTATCCACAATTCTGTGTTTTTGCGAGTTCATCCTATCTTTTATCAGCACAAGAGATCCGGTAACTTAATAAAAAAAGTAGTCCCAGAACATCTTCAACGGATGTTTAATTGTTTAATCAATATGAGCTGTCGTAAGTTTTTCGTTACCACGTCTCTAATAAAACGCGATCGCACCAAAAAATGCCATTTAATGAGCATTTATCTAATATTTAACAACCTGTGTATTTTCTTGCCAAATCGTATCGTTTCTTCGTCCTGGCAACAGTCAGTAACTGATTTTTTGCGGTATGTTTGGCAATACCTGATTAATCACACCTTGGCAATATCTCCTTGAATTATTAATATGAATGTCCATCTTTAAAAATAAGAAGCGAATATGGCTTTATTTATACTCCCAAACTGTAAAACTTGTCAATACTTTGACATTACCAACTGCTAAAAAGTAAAATTGTAAAAATTATAATATGTTAACATTAATTCGCACAATACTGTAATATCTAACACTAAGAAATTGTTTTAAATACTGTCATTGGAAACTTTCCTGAGGTTGTTTAATATTATAATTAATATTTTTTTGCGATAACTTATAAATGTTATTCCTCTATTTTTTGATATTTCTTTCTATCGTTGTTTTCATGAGTTCCATCAATTTTGAGATAGTTTGGTTTGGACTTTAAAGATTATTTTCTGTTGCTCAATCCCTCATTCTTCTATGGAAGTAGTTACATCATGCATTAATTGATGGTTTCTATCCACTGGTAGTTGTAACTTAACGTACTAGCATTTTACGTTTAATTCAGGTTTTAAAACTGAGATTTGAGTCCAATATTGTTTGTTCACATTTGGTACAAATATTTTCTGATGGGTATGCTTCCAAGTTTCCTATGCTGCTCTCATTATTGGGAAAAGTATTCATATATCTTTTGACGCCCTTCATTATTTGTTCCGTAGATTTTCCATTAATCCTATAACAAATGTTGTTATTTGCATGAACACAACCTTACGTTCCAAGGAATATATTAAATAATATTATTTATTTAATACTTTTCGTAGCAAGCTAAGTATATGTTAACGAAGAGAATGATGACTTTGCTTAGCAAATACAGAGTTTTTATTTTATAGCCTTGAATTTTTGTTAATTTTGATATCTATACGTATATATTGTTTTATATTGTTACATGTACTTTGGGTAGTAGCTGCCGATATTGCCATTTTTTATAAAGATAACGAGAGCAGAAGTGTATAAATAAATTTTGTTAAAGTTTTGACTATTCTTTATTCGATTTTTGTATTTAGTTTTTATATGTTTTGTGGTATATAATGTGTTCATAGTAAGTAAAAGACTTTTATTATACATTTTATTGCACTAGCAGTTTGCTGGATTACTGGAAAATAAAAAAATCTTCCTGATTTAGAAATTTAATGTTAAATATTTATATTAACATTAAGTTTGACAAAAGTATTAAGCACATTAAGACTTTCTACAGTGGGGTAAAGGCATGCATTCGATTATTTATTTCTCATCTCCTTTTCTCTAATTATATTTTAAAAAAGTTTTCTTCCTCTTTCTTTTCCTAATTTTTTGTCGTCTCCTCTTAACCTGAATATAATAGAAAAAATAAAAAAATCTTACAAAGGTACCTGAAGGAAAGTGCATTAGTTATTCGGGAATAAAAATCATAATCGGTAAAACGTAGATAGGTTGTCAAGAATAATAGAAACAAGTCATATACATCTTTATTTGTAAATGGAATATCTGTATTTAATTTTTTTAAAAAATGTAACTTTGCTTAGCTTTTTCTTTATATATTTTTAATAGTTCCTTTTAAATTTGCAATTTTGTAAACGTGTTGATCCACTAGTTACACTCTAATACAAAATTAAAATAATATAACTTTGCTTCACTTTTTTTATCTTCCTGATATATTTACATTTTTTGCAAACGTACATATTGATCCGTTAGTCATTCTCAAATTCACAAATTCACAAAATATGTTAACGAAAATGAGGGTCTGATTTCCTTGTTCTCTCAAGACTCAATAGAGCGTGTAAATTAGTTAAAAAAAAATAAAGTATTCTCTTACTTTGCTAATAGAATTACGGGAATATAATGTTTTTAGAAATTGAATAATAAACCAAAATATAATAAAAATAAGGATAGAACATGTTAACTAAACTGACATTTTTTTAGTGGATTTTAAAATTAAAATAAGTTACGAGGGGGTATAAAAATATTGTGTTTGCTATATCTATCCTGATCGTAATGTTTTAAATAACACTATGTAAATCGGTCTGTGTTTTCTAAATAAAATTTATAATCATATAAATATATCGAACCTATTTTCAGTTATTTCCTGTACCTGTAATCTACTATTATTACTTCAAGGTGTAGTTGAACGTGGTGCACCCTGTATTGAATGCCATACTTTACTCAATTAGGATTACATCATTTGAGAATATGAAGATTTTTTTGTTTGTGTAGTAATCACATTTATGTTGCTTACTGTTTACACTGCCAGGATGTGCCTTGGGGTCGTGATAATTTCTTTTGTGTCTTGTATATAATGTTGCATATAGCATGTGTATGATAATAGGCCATATGACGTTCATAAATGAACAAAAATAATCGGTATTTGTGTTTTTGTCAAATATGTATCAGGAAATCTTTTTAATAAATAAATTTCCCTGTACCAGGAGTTATAGTTACTATTAACACGAAATATTCATATTTGTTTAATTATACACTAAACAAGTCGGCCAAGTTTGGTTCAGATCTGTTTATTGGTTTTAATATATTTATTAGTCCGTCAGTTCATAGATGTGTTAAGTCTTGATTTAGAATCCTGTGAAGACTCTGTAGATGGATATTTCTAAAACAATCTTCATGAGTTAACTTTGGGTATAAAAGGTCTGTATATATATATATATATATATATATATATATATATATATATATACATAATATAACCCATCTATATATACCGATTTGGAAATTTTTAAACAGAACATAGGATTTTTAATACAATAACTGAGATTCCCTGATTTGGCAATTAACCAGTGTAAATTTTAATACGATGTCGAGATGTTTTATAATTAATTTATTTGTTCGAATCTCCAGTCGACATCCTACTACCACACCTTCGCAAACGATCATCGTCAATCTGTGCTTTCCGGGATGCCGCCAATTTAAAAAACGGAACACAGCTAGAGAGTATGTCAATTCTCCAAAAACCACAAAAAAAAAAATAAAAACGTAATATTCAATAACAAAAATTTAATTTAATAAAGGTTAAAATATTCCACCTCTTTCTAAGAGCAAAAACCGAATTTATTGTGCAGAGATACTCTCAACAGATAAACATCAAAGTTTGCATTTCTGGTGGAGTAGTCATGATTAGGTCTTGCGGAAAAAACATGTAGGTGTTTACAAATATTAAGCAAACAGTTTTTAAAATATTACAGTAAAACATTGAAAACTTTTGTTTTCAAAATTTATTTTAAATTCTTATCACTATAGCTGTTTCGGCACAGTGCCTTTGTCAAGTGATCTATTTTTGGTATGTGCTTACACTTTATAGTCTTTAACTGAATAGGTTGAGAAGGGGAGAACTGTTTGTCTCAAGCTGGTCATTCAGAATTGTCTGTATATTTTATTTTGTTGATTTCCATGGATTCTAATAAAGATATCTTAAGGCCTTTATTTTTGATGTGGAGAATTTGAATTTCGTCATTAAAAGAATGATTCTGGTTTGGAAGGTGAAGTGTGTACGTAGAATATGTTTTTCTATTATTGAAAACTCTTTTATGTTCTGCTATACGTTTGTTAAAAATTCTACTAGTTTGACCGATGTAAGTTTTTGAGCAGTCGCCACATTTAAGTTTGTATACACCACTCTGTAAATGTTTTTTCTTTTGGCTCTTGTTGTTTTTAATATATTTGCCCAAGTTGTTGTTTGTTCTAAAAATGGTGTTAATTCTTTCTTTTTTCTGGGTGTTGGCTATTTCTGTTTATATCTTGCCTGTATATGTAATCGAGCAGAAGGTACTGGGTTTTTTCTCTGGTGGTGGAAACACTAATTTCAGGGCTTTCTTATGTAGTTTATGATTTAAAATTTTATTTTTTGTTTGTTCGTTGTATCTATTATTTACTGCTATTTGCTTAATAATGTTTTATTCTATCTCAAAGTTGTTTTTTGACATCGGAATTTGTATTAATCTATGTAACATGCTATGGTAGGCCACCAATTTATGTTGAGTAGGATGGGATGATGAATTGTGTATAGTCGTGTTCGTATGGGTAGGTTTATGAAATAAGGAGAAATGTTTGTTTTTAAGTCTGATAATTTTTAAATCTAGAAAATTGATGGTTCGATTTTGTTTTGTTTCTATTCTAAATTAAATATGACTATGGAGTGAATTAAATACGATAAAATTGATCAAGTTGCCGGTTAGTTCCTATAAATTCATGTATTAATTCACTCCACGTATATTAATTCACAAACTTGCTCCATCATATTTGACGCAAAAATTTAAAAACAAACAAAAATCAAGTTTGCATGCTATCTGGGAGGTAAGCGTTAAAATCCTGTGATTTCTGAAGTAGCTTCTGCAATGTGTTGTTCTTTTGAGGTCCAACAACTAACTTATCGCTTTTTTTGTAATTTAAAAATAAAAAATTGAGGCATGTCGAAGATGAGACTCGAACAAAGAAAAATATGTTATTTTGGAAAATGCTAAATTGATGTCCTTGAAAACAGATCTTATTGCATAGCAGGCTGAGCCCAGTTTCTTACTTAACAAATCGATGTGAAGCTACCATTTAAGGTTAGTGTCTATAAAAATATATCAGAATCAACGATACTGATCTGGCTGTTATTAAGAAGCAAGGGGTGGCGAGCTCGATAATCCTACTGTCTTATCCACGTTAAAAGAGAGTAAATTAGAGTCGGACCTGGTTTTTTTCTTGAAGAGTTGCAATATTAAAGTTGCTCTAGGTGATACTGGTATCATCAGCAAAACGAAAAATTTTTCCATTGATTTTTAAATTAGTGATGCCATTATAAAGAGAAGGAAAAGTAGAGGACCCAATACTGAACTTTGTAGTACTCCACATACAATGCTCTTGTGACTAAAGTCAGTATTATTTGCTCTAACCAGTTGTTTCCTATTCCCCATGTCCTCCAAGAAATACCCCGAATTCCGAAGAAATTTAGCTTTTTCACAAAAACAGTAGCAGTGTAAAGATTATTGTTTACTGGTAAACCCCATATAGCACAGAAAACATAGCATCACTGGTACATTTATTAGATAAAAAGCCGAACTGATTTTGTTATAAAATGTTGTTTTCAACGTGAAATGATATAAGTCGGACTCAATAATTCTATAAAATACAAATAAGTCTCTCAATAATTTTCCATAGTATCGGTAGTAAGGCAATAGGACTATAGTTGTATATATATATATATATATATATATATATATATATATATATATATATATATATATATATATATATATATATTATTTTTCACCGCCCTTATGAAGATGAATAATAATGACTATCTTTATGCACTCTGGAAATATACCTTTTTCAAAATCATTAATTCGTGAGATCAAGACTTCCACTACATTTTTTGGAGATTTGAGAACATTTTTATTGGTAGTCCATCAGTACTACAGAAAGATTTGCTTTTGACTAGTGATTGTTTGGATCAGTTCAGATTTCCCAACTGGTCTTATAAATAATGAATACGAAACTCATTTTGGACTGGGGAGATAGGAAATGGGATATTGTTGTGGCAAAATAGTTGATGTTATAATTTTACTCACATTAACGAAGTATTCATGTAGATATTTAGGATTTGGAAGGGAAATTGTTTGAGTTATGTTAGTTTTATTTCGAAGTTCGTTTATTATGCACCAAGTTTGTTTTTAAACACTTAGAGTTTTTAGACGATTTTGATAGTACGCTTTTTTAGTTGCTTTTATAAGTTTTAGATAGGTTACTCTTTACTTGGTGATATAATCAGTGACAGTGACGTTAGTAGTAAATTTCTTGATATACACTATTGAATACATATTCTTGGCTGATATGCGGATACATTTAGTAGTCCAGGATTTGTGATGTCATCAGAACCGTGCTAAAGTTGTCATCATTAAAATAATTTGAGGTTTCTAGTCCCACAGAACACGTCGTATTGTTTAAAACTTTCGGTTTGGAGAGACAATGGAATAGTAATTTTGGTGACATTCACTTGATTTTTACAGGTGAATAATTCTTTCCGAAATGAGAAAGGACCTAAAAGCATCAAGATCAGCTTCCACCTCATTTGTACCAATTTTATAGGTAGGTATCATTAAATTGTAGGATTTTTTTAATCTTCAGTCTGAGTAAGAAATTTTTCGGAAGCCAAGAAGAGTTTAATGCTTGTGTTGACAAATTCACCGTAACATACTAAAGCAGGTTGGTCGTTTAGAAAAGCAAGATTTAGTGCGGTTCCCTTAATCTTACTAGAAGATATCTACTGTTCGAGTTATTGGTTAATCTAACTCTTGGTGGGGTCAAAGTATCTTTCTTAATGAAATTAATATAGAATTCTGGAATGGAAAGATTCTAAGATTTGCAAATTTCGATGGCATGCTTGTCTATGAGTAGTTTAGTGTTTCCTACTTCATTTTTGTTGTTGCTTGAAATGGTAATTGAATTTTCCAAGCTAACGGGGCTTCTAATATTTTTCGGACTCATATTTGACTCAGATGGAGGCCGTGGTTCGAAATATGAGGATTCTATAGACCGTTTAATATTTACACCAGGTGGCCAAATTCCCTTATATTAAATTAAATAATAAGTCAATGGAGGTTTTAGATTTTATATCTATTTTGAATGAAGAACTGTTTGCTGTGTCGGCATCTGTAAGGAGGGCGTAACATCGAATATATTCCTTATACTTAGCTTTTCTTTAATATAGTGAACCACTTGTATAGAGGTGTATATTAGAGTTAAGTTGCTAATAACTACATATGTCATTTATTTTCTGCAATTTTTTACTTTTGCTCCGGACCTGATTCGAAATATTGAAGGTCTTCAGTTTGGGTACCTGAGATGGCATAAAATGTATTTTTTTTTTCGTTACCTCTTTTTTGTTTGGTATAGTAAATAATTTGTTGATTATCATTTTATTTGAGATTACTCATTTGATTATATTTTTCACTGATGTTTGAAGAGAGCCTTTCTAACCCCATCTTAATCTCAGTTGAATATGGGTCTTGGACTTAAACTTTAAGTATCATCTAAACAACCAAAAAAACTGACGATATATTGAAAATGTCTTGTTCCATCTGCCTTATACAGATTCCTTATATTAGATAAATTCAAAGTTAATCATTTAGAGTAAATAATAAAACATTTTTTTTATTCGAAATATTTGATTAATACTACTGGGATTGGACTAAGGTTGTTTGTTAAAGGGAATAATAACTACCGAGTAGTCAAAAACCGAAATAACAATTTTGGATGATAAAAACTGTTTGTTCAATATACAGTGTAGGTAAAAGTTTATGGTCGGTATGGTAAAACTTAACAGGATATCTAACACAGATATAAAATCATATTTTCAGCGAATAGAAGATAACAATCATATTCCCACTTGGTCTCCCCTCCATAAATCTTCTTGACGCCCATTGCCTGTT